AAAGTTTTATTGGGAAATAAGAAAAAATAATTTGATAGCTGAAGCATTACCCAGAATTCAGTTCCTTGCTGTGCCTGGCTAACTTAGGCAAATTTTATATATGTGTGTGTATTACATCTATTACTCTTGTGGAAATGTCAACAAGTTTGTTAAAATGAATACACAAAACCAAATTCAGCAATCAGTATGGGAAACAATGCAAGACAGTCATTTACATTTTTAAGAGATTAATTTTTTCCACCAAAACCAGCACAGATCTACTTGGATTAAAAGAAAATATTTTTATTAGTGAATGACTTTTTTTAATTGCACTGTTGCTTCAATCAATGGTTCATTAACAAATCAAAGTATCAGTTTAAGCCAAATAAAAAGGCAACAAATTCGAGTAAACATGGGGAAAAGCTCTGGTGTATTTCCTAGTATGTATAAATCAATGTGATGATAGACTATCATAGCACACTAAATAATGCTCTTTCTTAGAGTAACTAATTTGGAAACCATAAGAAGGGCAAGACAGTGCTGCATACTAATCTCCCTAATTAACCCTCCAAAAGTTAAGATATTAGAAAGAAGCAGAATGCCAGTGTGTCCCCTCGAAAGTTCAAACCAAGGTCCTCTCTAAGTCAAGTGCGATGTGCAATTTTTTTTTTTTTTTTTTTTTTTTTTTTTTTAAAGTTAGCTGTCAAGTAATTATGGGAACTCAAATATAACTGGTCACTTAGGGTTGAAGCTAGTCCCTACTGCAGCCAGCTTCTAGCATGCCTTCCACCTCTGTTGCACCTCCATCTGAAAAATTTCACTATTATCAGCATGGTGTATTTTCATCACTCTTTAGTCTAATTCAGATTTTCAGTTATCTGGGGTATGGGAACTGAATTAAGAATAAACCTCACTGTTAAGCATTATCCACAGCAGCACAGTTTATTTTTATAATTTATACCAGTTTTAAAAGCATACAACTATCAGCAACATAGAGACTTTCCTATACAGCTCTTTGGTTTACAGCACTAGTCTTATCTGACATTCAAGTTTCTCTTCAGAAGTGCAGAACAGTTCATTGCAGTTGCATGCATCCCATATAATGACTAGGCTCGTGTGCTTTACCAGTAAGACTGAAAAATGAAAAAAAGCAGCAAACACTGAAGTGTTTGTGCCCTGGACCAAATTTTAATGCTTCTTAATCATCTCCTAAGCAAGATCCACTTTCAACCTGACAAATTTTGACAAAACAGCAAACATCGCAAAATGTCAAGTAGTTACAAGCAGGATAAAAAAATAAACCTTGCTAATAAGGAGCTGCCAAACAGAGTCAGGTCCAAACTCCAGCCCAACAAGCCCAAACACACAAGGCAGACATTGAACTAAAAGGAGGCTCATGAACATAATTGCATACATTTTCAAGTCAGCCAAGAGGCAACTTCATTTACATTGGACCTTGCATCTGAAGTTTTCAGATGTGAATAGTGACTTTGGTCTCAGGTTCCAGAATAAGAGAACTTAAAAGGGACTTAATTTTCAGAATGTTTTGGAAATTAGGCCCTTTTAAGGGATCTGGTCTACATCCGAGAAATAAGGCTTCCAAAATGAAGTCACGTTGACATTGTGTACTCTTAAGTTTATGCTTGTTGACATCAATAGCCAAAAATACCCAAACCCAAAACATCTGAAATGTTGATAGGAGCAGGACACGGAATAGAGGCAGCACGTCAACCTTCATGAAGACTGAGCTGTAGAAACATTGAAGGGATTGAAATAAGTCCATTTTCAGCTGGAAATACGTAAAAATTCCAGCTACAATTATTTTTCATGACCTGTTATGTAAAAGTGGTTTGATCAATTTTCTCCAAAACTTCATATAAACATTCTTTGCCTCAGGGCTCAATACAAGAAATTACAGCCCGCACCAATTTTCTAGGGAAAAAAATATGTCATGGAGTTAAATAGATATTTATAAAAGAAGTTTTAATTATGACTCCCTTTCAGACATCCAAACAAGTTGGTACAAGATTAACTCAAAACAATAAACGTCTCAAATGTGACGTTTTAAGGCACAAATGAGTGTCGTAGCGTGAGAATGTAACTATTTATGCTACCAGGAGAGGGAAGTGGATTGCATTACTAGATAGGAAAAGTGTATAGAGCTATTTGAATGGTGCAAGACCAAAGAAATGGTCTTACTGTGAAAGGCATGTTGTGTATCGAAGTACCTTCTTTTATTCATCAGGCTAAACACTTCTTGTGCTTTGACAGAACTGAACTCCCATCTATGTGCTGCTGTCCTGTACCACCCGGATCTTGAAACATAATGCGTGTTCTACAGAAGGCCAGCAGGATTAGGAATGGTTGCAGCTAGAAACACCTAACCACTGTAGTCTTCAGTACATCTCAGTGCTAGATTTCTTTCTTTGTAGATGTTCTCCTACTTTTCTTTTTATGTCATTTTTTAAGTGTATGTGTGTGAGTGAAAGAAAAGGATTTCAGATTATAATAGGTTAAATTTGCCCAGGGAGGAGTCTCAGGTAAGATGCAAGATGCGTATTACCAACGTTTCACTTTATACCAATCCAGTCTTACTGAAACATGAGGCATGTGAGGCTGTAATTTGGCAACCATGTGGAGGCTGTGAGTAGATTCTCAGGTGTGCTGTTATGATCTACCCGAATCCAACCTCAAGTTTGTGTGGTTTTGAGTTTTCCCAGACTATGGAGCTTAAATTTTGTTTTCTTAATTTTGAGTTATCATGTTCACTGTAATATCAGAAATAACATAGAATCTGTTCACAGTTCAGGGATGCGTTTTACGCAGTAATATAACTGTATTAATTAGAAATTAAAATCAAGAAATAGTAGCCTTTAGTGGAGTAGGCAATAGCCAGATTGGTTCAGCTTTTCTGGTTACTCTTCCAGTGCTTTTTCCTCAGCTTTAAAAGTTATAAGGCATGTTCCCAACCAAATGAAATGTATTAAATTACTGTGATATAATTTAAGTCCTCACTTAATTCCTTTTGCCACTAGTTGCTTTAAAAATGGCTCTAATGTTAAATGATAGGAAGTTCAAATACACTCAAGTACTAGAAAACTGCTTGAGAACGCTAGTTTTACATATGTCTGTTTCATGCCATAAATTGCATTTATTTGCTTTCTAGAATGGGATCCAAATCTATAGAACAAATGTAGCGCCATGGTTTTTGTACACAGTCCCTAGGCTTGTGTGCTTTAAGGAACCAGAAGGGGCAGAAGCGTAAAAGCCAGGAAGGTACAAATGGTCTTGGTTACATGAGTTAACACCCTGTTCACTTACTGGAGACACTAGGAAATAGCACAAAATCGGGAATAAACAAGACTAAAGCAGAAATATTTGAATTCTGTGCCCACTGTAGACATTGGAGCCCTCTGATGCTTCCAAAGTCCTGTTATCTGTATGGCTCGTATCAGCATGTCCAGATCAAAAAAATGTAACTGCCCTTGTTTAACACAGAGGAAAACATACTCGGAAAGGGTGACCTGCCTGTAAGTAACTGTAGGCAAGTTCAGGATTAGAATGGAACCGGCTTATTACATGTTGTAATTTTTTCTTCTAGGGCAATTTGCACTCCAGTTAACAACTTGATAAGAATTAAGTATGTGCTGGGCCTTATTCCTATTCAGTGTATCCCTCCCCTCCTTTTGTTTGGATTGCTTGTGTTCTCTATGCTTACCTCTCTCATTACGTTTTCTTCTCTGGTTATTATGGGGAAAGTTTATTAAACGAAGCAAGTCATGCAGCATCCTTTGGAAATGCTTTGATTTGATGTTAGATTTAGGTTTTGGGTCGTTCAGAATAGATGGAAGCTCTCAGCTATTGACTACTCTTCTACATCTATGAAAAAAATCTTATCCTGGAATGTGTTAGCCACAGGAGGCAGCTGCCTCTCTGGGCTTTGACACCTGTCATTACAGACCTTTAATCTGTTAACTACTTTTACAGGCTTAAAACCATAATCTTAAAACGAGCACTGGAATCGGCAAGAGGCAGTGACGGAACTTGTGCGTTAATCATGTTATCTCTGTGCTATTCAGAGGAGGGGAATATTATAATCTGCGTAAGCTTGTGTTCTTAATCATCTTTGGTTTTGGGTGCAATAAACTACAACAATCCAACCAGAGGAGGAAAAAAAAATCTATCCCCTTGTTCAAGCAGCATATTCAGTCAAGTAGTAGCGTAAGAACTCGAATGCCAAGTACCATCCTTTTAGAAAAGCAGACAGAGATAATTAGATTGGTCTTTTGGCTAGGGGCTTGAAGCTGAACATTTTCCCCTCTGTTTTAGGGGGAACATCTGAGTGTTAAGTTTACCTTTAGTCATGTAAATACCTGTTGCTGCAGCACTTTGCAGAATCAAGTCCCATATACCTGATTTATTAGGCTACCTTATTCCCAGACAGGTCAGTTTTCTTCCAAATACTTTGAATGATCACATGAAGGATTTAAGAATTGACCATGCATAGGACTGTTCTTGCCACTTCACATGTTTATGTGTGGTTGCTCAGGGATAGGATTTTTTGTATACAAGATGAAAGTTAATACTGGTTTAGGCACCTAAATTCTTTACTTTTCCTCTGTAAAATATGTTCTTAAACAGAACCTTTACCTTGAGTTTCCACTTACAGAAGTTACAAACGCATCTTTTACAAAGTGATAGCCTTATGAAGGGAACAAGTAGTTGCTCGTCTACACAGTGAATCAGTGCCTGTGCTAAAAATAAAATACCAGCAGCAGTCCCTTATGGTGTCTGATCAATTTCTCTCTCTTTTTACTTATATAGGGAAACATTTAAAAATGATAAAGGGCAGGATAACATAAATGCTTCAAGAGGAACAGCAAGAGTGGTTCTTTGAGAAGTTCTAGTATTTGTGTTATTTTTAAGTTCTTTTCTCACATTTGAAGGTATCTAAACCATTAATACATGTTCATCCAGGTTTCAGAAGACTCCTAGAAGTTTAAACAAGTGCACTGAAAAAGTTTGTGTTTGTAAACATTTATTTTCTTGAACTGAAAAAGGCTTGCATCAGCACACATTGTACAGCCTTGCAAATTACACAAATTGAAAAAAGTTTGTTTCATTTATGTGCAATGAATCTTTAATGTCCAGTGAGCATCTGCAAATGATGAAAACTTAAACCATTAAAAAGGTTTCCAGCACTTCTCAAACACAATTATCTTAGCGTGAAAAGGAAGAGAAAGAGATCCATACTGGTGAGAACACAATTAAAGTGCAAACATTTTGTCACCTGTGAAGATACATTTTAGTCTCTTCACGCTTTTGCTGAAAAGAAGAAATATTAAAATGTGATTCAGTGAACATTCTTTGTAACCTATTCATATTTCCCTTTAAATAATTATTAAACTTGTTGGATCAGAAGCGAATCCTTCAAGGGTACAACCTACTCGTAATTTCTTTTGACATTGCTTCAATGAATCTTGAAAGAAAATGACCATCTAAGGAGTTAGTTACTAAAATTATTTTTTTTTTTTCCCCAAAAAAAAAAAAAAAAAAACAAAACCAAACCAAACACAAGGGACAAAGAACAGGTTAACTTGAAGATTTGGGGTAGTTTGCTAGAAAATGAGTGTAATTCCTTGAAAATGGTTCTCTTTTCCCTTCTACCAATCCTCAGGTTCCTGCCTTGGAATGGACAGCTGTGTGCTGGCTGTGAAAAGGGATTATAAAATACAAATCTGAATATGGATTTTTATGAACGTTTGCTGTACAATAGAACTTTGGATCTGATACAAGAATTCAAAAATATAAAACAAAACTACTATAAAAGTAGGGGGCATTTCAACAGCATTCCTTGTAGAAGGCTGCCTGTCTCAAAGATGATTCCTTGCTATTGTCTGGGATTAACTCCGAATATTTTTTCTTCATCTTGCTGGATCACTGGGTTATTTAGTCTTCAGTGGCTAATGTCATATGACAAAACATCCCAGGAGTCTCTGTGAAGAGAACAGAAACTCCATAACATCAAGCCAATTGAGGAGAGGAGGACATGGAAGTAGTAAAGGCTGAGTGTCCACTGATGTAACTGCTACTGAGAACTAGCCCTTTCCAGAACATGAAAGTCGTAGTGCTTCTTGCTTGTTCTCAGCCTGAACTTGTTCACTGAGGTACTACTTTGTTTCTTCAACGCATTCTGAGCAGCTGACATTGTAGGGAACGTAGCTAGAACTGTGTAAGTGGAAGCCAAGTCACTAGGTTTGGATGGCTCAGTGTTCACACTACTGTCTCCGCTGCCACAATAACGACGATGGTGCTGCTGCTGTGTTTGTAGACACTGTGAATCCCTTAGCCACCGAATCTTGGCACCAACTTTTAAAAGTTCTCCAAATAGTTTTTCTGCTTCCATACGAGTTATGCCTTCTGGCAGTTCAGTAATTTCTAGAACTTTTCCCACAACTGAAACAAGAAGAACATTGAATCTAAATTGGTCATTGTCCTTAATGATACAACAAACACAATGGAAAATGAGTTATTTCATACTTGTATCTCCAGTTGACTGATACCAAATACACAGGCATTCCATTTCTGGTATTCTAGAGAGCCTTTTGCTTTCACATCTAGCACTGCTTACAGTGTACAAACAAAAGCTGAGAATACAAAGAGGATCCTCAAGAGAGGAGGAAAAATAATAAAATAATCAACACCTAATTTTGCAGCAGGTTTGAGAACTCACTATAGCATCTCACTGGCTTTGCCTGTTAACTCTTCACACATCACCGTGCTAAAAAACTAGTTTCTCTTCTCCCAAAAAATCCTCTCCAGTAAATAGTTAGAAGCAGCTGATTTATCTGTAACTGTCTGCAAAGATTTGATAGTAGGTAACACTTGCAACAGAAATTCTTTCTGGTAAAGATACAGAGATAAATGATATCAGGTTTTATTTGGATGACATCTTTACTAACTCCAAGGAGCTAATCTGTAGATCTCTTAATATGTGCTTACTTCTATTAGAAGGGGGGGGGGGATAAAAAAAAAGAGGGCAGCACAAACTAATTTGTAGTTTATGTTTGATTTCACATTTCATGCAAGTAAAAGGAAGCAGGGGTATGTATATTTACTATAACAATATTTAATGTAACGATATAATAGAACTTATGTCCAGTAAACTGACAAACTTGCTTTTCCTTTTAGTACTGTCCAATCCTGATCTTCTCTGGTCTTTTCTCCAGCCTTCAAAACTACGCTTTTTCTCATTTAACCTCCCTCTTCTCTTCTCTCTAAATCAAGTCCTCCTCTCCATCCTTATGTTTCCAGTGTTTGCCATGTCCATTTCTGTCCAATTACTTTTCATTCTGGCCCTTTCTCACCTCTGCTTGTCTTGTTACATTCCCAGCCCATCACCATAATTCCATTTTTCTGGAGGACTGTGTCAACCAGCAATTCTATACCTGGTTCTCCTGCACCAAGATCTGCTGAAGCAGCCTTCTTTGCTGGTTTCTTTCCCCTGTTTCCATGTCTGTTTCCAGGTTGACACTGAAAAGATTGACATAAATGATGTACTTTAATGACAACGCACCAGTGTCTTAACATTTCTAGTTCAGTGAAAAACGATGCAGAGGAATATCTGGAAAATAACCCGTGCTACCATGGTACAGAAAAGATTTTCATGTCCAATTTTAGCCTTGGAGTTTAGCAATCCTGCAGTCAGGCACATTCAATCCTTGGCTTCAGAAGAAAGGGAGGAGATGACGAAAAAAATCACCTTAAATCTTGGAAGAACATCCCCCCACCCCCCACTACCCCAATCCATCACATCTTCTGGCTGATCTCAGGTAGAACTGAGTGAGGTAGGGGGTCTGTGTGTCTGTCCCAAAAATTAAATAGATGGCAAAACTTTTTAGCTTTGCTAACACTAATATTCTAGTTTTGTTTTTCTTGTAAGAAACAAACCTGCTCCTTGCTTAGAAATACCCACATGTATTTCCTCTTTTTTTTTTTTTTTTTGAAATTGTTATTCAAATAAAATAAAATCCTTTCAGCAAACGTTCTCTCTGTGATTTTTGGAACCGCTGGTGCATTGCTTAAAAAAAAAAAAAATCCATAACCTACACTGTGCCTAAAGCTAAATTTCATGAAAATGTTCCTCACTTTTTTTTTTTAATACAACAAGAACAATGGGAAGTATCAACACAGAATAAAACCGTTGTTGCAAAGCAAGCACCTTCCTCTCATTTACTTGTCTAATGCAATAACATATTCCCCTATTCATGGTGGTTATAATGGTAGTCCTGAGTTGTTTTTTTCAATGTTGCCAGGAGATTGTTCTTTTTAATACCTGTTGGCTTGTTACTTGTCCACGTAATAAAGATGGTGGATTGTATTGCAGGGGTTGGCCAAGCAGTGGGTATCTGGCATCTCCTTAAAGAGAAAGGTAATTAGAAGGGTTTTTCTGTTGTATGAAATCTTCTAAGTTCCTCTTACGATGTATAACTTAACACAAAGAGAAAGCATATAACTATGCACAAAGTAGTGTATTTGGCTACGCTAACAAAATAAGATTTGGCATGATTAAATAAATCTCAGTCAGTCACAGACTGATCACAAGGTGAAAAGGTACAAGCTTTCTTGCATTTAAGGATTACACTGAAAAACACACTGAAAGTTTTTCTTCATTGCAGTCTTATCTAAAATCCTCTCATTTCAAAATGAGCTTAAGGCTAAAGTTCCTGTCAGCGTACTAATTTAATCATTTTCATGGTCATATCCCTGATTAGCGCCAGGTACATCTTCACATTCATACTTGCTCCAAGGATCCACAAAGATAATGGAATATAAGTTTTTAGTAATTGCAGAAGATTAAGAAAATGAAGAGGTATACTTTACAACAGGCAACCTAGAATTTTTACAACATTGGAATACAACACAATGACAAAGATTATGCAACAGGTAAGACTATGACAAAGACAAGAAAATAAGGTTTTCTTTATCAATAAGGAAGACATACAGAATTATCTTCAAGTTTTGTTTTAAAGTAAACTTTCTGTAAAATAGACCCATTAATTCTAAGTTTGGGAACTGTACCAGGATACCTTTGCTCACTGACAAAGGTTTTTTTTATCGTTTGGTTTTTAAATGTTACTATCACATCTTGGTGAAAACTCCCTATTTTCTGTTTTTCTGTTAACATGGCAGCAGAGGACTGAAATTCTTCTAAAAGGAATTTTTTTCTGTCCTTGGGTGGGTACTACCTGAAATACTAATTGAAGTAGCAACAGTATTGGTTAGAGGCTCTAGTCCCATCATGCTAGTTTTTCTACAAAGGAAGGGAGAATTCTCGCTTAGGCAGTGGTTTGATGCAGTGCATCATCAATAAGTGAGTTTGGCAGAACATTCATCTCGACATCGCATTTCTATATCCATTCCCCCAAAAGATAATAGGCCCACCTAGTGTATTAAGATCAGCTAGTCCCACATTATTTATTTTATCTTTGTAGCTCTAAAATTACATCCTTTGTGACACTGTGTGTCAAGTTCTTGATTATGGTTAAAACTTGAAGCTGAATTATATAAAACATTTCATTAATATTTTGAATGCTGAAATGGGGAGTTTCACATATGAGAAAGCTAGTGGGTTTTACAGAAGCTCTCACAATAGCAAGATCAAAAGCTTTTGAGAATATGGGGGACGGTATCGGTGCAGAGAGATAAGGTGCAATTTTACATGATGCTTGAGTGGGTAATTTTGATGATCCTGCTTCAATAGCATTACTACTAAAGTGAGCCCCAGTTTGTCAGAAAATCCTCACATAACTTGTATTTAAAACCACTTAAATTAGAAAACGTACACGCATTTTAGTGAACTAAAAATATACCTTGTCCAGGGACAAAAGGTCTAGAAAACTGGGACACGATAGAAAGAGGTGTTAATGTGGGACGGATGTTCTTCATGTTTGATAGCTGAGCTGGTGCTGGTGATTGGGCCGGTGAGGTGACAGGACTACCTAGTTGAGGACTATGCTGCAACTGGAATAAACAATAAGTTAGTGTTTTAAAAGGTACCTAGTTGAACAAGCTGAACAACCTAGAGCATTCAAAGACTGAAGTTAAAATAGTTATACTGAGTATTATCAGAGCAGATTTCTATTCCCCAAAAAGAACTGTTGAAAAAAAAAACGTGCAGAGACGCAATTTATGCAAATTTTAAGTCATCCTGGAAAACAAAACAAAAACCTCATACCTGCGCAGCACTGTCTAAAGTGCTAAGTTCTGTGGACTTCTGCCCCCTTTGATGATCACAGTAATACTTATTCTGTTTCCACTGTGGAGGTGAATGGTTCCGAGGCTGAGGATTGTTAGGTATATTTAGCTGCATCATTACTACTCCTCCACCTGGTGGTGGTGCTACCGCTACAAGACAAGAAATCAGTAGGCTACAGTTAGTTCGTCATACATTTCAATGTTCATTTTAGCAGAACAGACATGAATTAAAAAGGGAAATAACATAATGAATGTTTTACTAAATAAGCTGCTGAATTCTGGAAAGCTAGAGCAGTACAATTACATTTCCACTATCAGATAAATCTGCGATAGTTCACTTAGAGGGGGCTTCCTGGAACTAGAAAAGATAGTGGAACCACTGAAACTCATTATTGAGAATATTTTTGAAAGGAATCATTCTATTTTATAGCAATTGAAAGTATTCAACATTTACTGTAGTTACTGTCAATACAATGTGTTGAAGAAGATACGGTATTGAGCAAAAATATGCTTTATTTAAAAATAGAAGTTACCTAGTTAGTTTTACATGATATACAGCAACACAGACTCAAAATGTTTTCTCTGGTATGATAGCATACATCAGAAAGACCTGGAATCAATCTTTAGTCTGAGGCAAAAACCATTACCCCCATTTATAAGTTCTATATAGGAACATTTTTCTGGGCAGAGACTGCAAATTGATCCCCACATCCTGTACCACTTGGCTGCTGCAGTAGCTACAGAAATGCCAAAGTTGGTGGAGAACAGCTGAACAGCCAACGCTGTTCTGTGAGGTTTCTCATGAGAAGTTGTGACGACAGCCTGCCCGAGAGAGAAGCTGTCTTCCCCCTTTGACTGGCTCTGTCCCAGGTATTTATATAACATCCTGTTTACTCGTAAATGGTTGTTTGCTATTTCCTTCTCTGCTCTACCCACCGTTCACAGCATTTCTCAGAAACCACAATTAAAACACATGGTTTAAACACCGTTTAATCATCCACCTTTTAAGAGAGAGTCTACAATGTTCTCAGCTTACTACCTGCATCACAGCATCAGCTAGGAGCAGTCAGATACAGATCATAAAATGCCTTCATGTTGTATTTTTTAAAATGGGCTTTTGTTTTCACTGCCCCTGGGGTCCACAAAAAGAAACAGACTCCTTTGAAAAGCAAACCAAACTGTAGAATAATGAACTCAGAATATTAAAACTATATTAGCTTTTGTAAATTGTATTCTGAAATATTTACTATATTGATATTTATAAAAATAAATGAAGTAATATTAGCAATGTTTTCACACCTGTACTTTCTGTTTAATGGCAAGCAGTTCTACCCATGTGTTACAGATTGAAATGGAAGCATCAAGACATCTGGCCAACTTTAGCAAAGGATATAAATTTAAGAATCCCTGCTCTGTCCTTAAGGGCCACACTGCAAATATTTCCATTTCACTGCACAGCAAAATAAAACGTAACTCTGTTTATAAGTATCTACTACATAATCAGAATAATATATAACACAATAGTTTCCAAGTGGTAAAGCCATAAACTGATGTAATCCCTATATGTACACCTGAGATGTACCAGACAAACATCTATATACACACTACATTTTACACATGAAAATTGGTTTAATTTTATGCATATCTTTATAAATATTAAAACTTATACTTACATCTTACTGGTTTTTAATATTACAATATTTTATTCTGCAGCACTCTGGCATGCTTTTTTGACTTATCTCTGTGAGAACTGAACACCCAACAAAAACATGCTTGTCTTTTGAAACCATCTACAGCACCATTTCTAAAAAAGTGTCACAACCTGAAAATGCTATTTAAACTGCAAAAGAAAACTTTGTACATGCAGAAAAACTTGTTCTTTCTATACTTCTAGTTCCACAGCATTTCAGTAAATGAAAATAAATGGAATTCTTTTCCTAAACAAGAATCCTGACAAAATGAAGCATCATAGAACACGTAAGTCAGTTTACAGACACTTTATCACCTGTCAAAACCCATGAGAAGGGAAACCCAGAAGAAATCCTTGAAAGGCTTCCCAGATTTGCAGTCTGGTCCTCTTAACTTTTTCAAATGAAGAGAAACACAACTCTGCTGCTTGTCTGCTTATATCCTCATTGTCCTTACCTCAGTGGCCTTGACTCATCATTTCAGTATTACTCACCAAAAAGCATGCTTTTCTTTCTCTCAAAATTTGTCCTCCCTGTGTCATAGAGGGCTTCCCCCTTCCCCAAACTTCTTTAAATCGCTTAAGAGGTTTAAGAAGTTTGAACCAGGCCTTCAAAACTGCGTAAAACCAGCACTTTCAGGATAGATTAGGAGAATAGAAGAACAAACTAGCACAAGACTGATTTCAGACATCCTGAAACGACAGTCTTCCAGAACTAAAGCCAAACAAACTTGAAGCAGAATGGAAACAAAACAAAACCAAACCTGCCCGTGAACTGTAATACACTGCTAATCCAGCTATCTTGCCACTTAACTGCATGTTATCTATTTACTAATAAACAGGCTCTAAAAAATATCTTGAAAGATAAATGTTTGTAAGAAACACCACATCTGTAGTGGAATCTAGGTCATTGACCTAGGGGGTGTTTAATCTATTGCTTGCTTGCAAAATACTGAGGAAGCAGTATTTGAGACTACCCTTATTTGGCTAACCAAACCTTGAACGTATCTAATTCCCTATTGGTAAAATAAAAACAGTACCGCTATGATCACAGGATCATTCTATAACCTCGTTTGGAGGCTAAGCCCAGTGCTTTTCATTTCCTGACCAGTCCATCAATTTAGTTGGAAATTGAGAGTTTTTAAGTGTTTGGATATTAACAGTTATAAACATTTCATGGATACGACAAGGTCTATGTCACCACTGTTGTCACACACCATTGAGGCTGCTATTTATACACCACCTAAAAATCATCCAAACATTTTGTAGATCAAAACATTCCAAACCGGACTTAAGTGCTTCTGCTAAGCGACACTTATCTGCTGAAGGCTGCCTCCCGCTGCCCCCGTGAAGCCGGCTATTGTTTCACTTAAGTTCCAAGTTGTCATTTTAAAAGTTACAGTAATTGCAATTCAGATGAAGAATTACAAAAAAAGTAGTTGCAGAGACGGCACTCAAGTTGCAGCTGTTCTAGCAGTTAGCCATGAAGTCAATCTGATAATTTACAACAGATTCTAGACAGAATGGCTTAGACGAAAATCCCAATAAAATATACCTTTTATTGGCTGCATGATGGAAAGACCAGTGGGTGAACTTTTACATGATGAGGGTGGAGACACTATGCTGTAGTGCACAATGGAAGCAGCCTGTTGTGGCTTTGACTTTGATGAAGGTGGCAATAATGTAGGAGGTGATGGCTTCTGACTTGAATGGTTGCTATAAACTATGAAAGTAAAAGCAGTAAATAAGGCTACCATAAAAACAAAACCACAACACCCGACACAGCTTTGGAGTATCCCATTTGGCTTTTCAGCAGGTCAAAAAGCTACCTCTCTTCTCTATCCAAACCCAGAACGCTTATAGTTTTCACCCTCTTCTCAGTAACTCTTAAGGAAATTGCTACTCCTACTCCATGAAGTGAAATCTAGAATGCTTCTTGAGTAGAAGAGCCAAGTATACTGCTTCCAAAATGTACCTTGCTTGTTCTATCAAATGAAACCCCAAATATCAACATTTTCAGACCCATGTAGCTATTCAGGAAAAGGTGAAAGTCATTCTGCTGACAACGTATAGCTCCCATGTCTGTATCAACTCACAAGCAGACATGCAAGGCATTATGATGTACATTACTGAATTCTAAGAAAGTAACTTAAGAGCTTTCAGTGATAAACAAATTGAGATGTCAAGTTAACCTGCCTCCAATATAACTTCAAAAACAGAACACAGAAGGAAATATAGTACAGTAGTTAATTCTAAATCAAACCATTAATAGCAAATATCCAATCACCCAGCATAATAATAGCTAGACATTTTTGAAGTCTTATTAAAAAAAAAAAACAACTTTATCACCCCAACCTGCGCACTGCTGTCCTTGAAGCTGCTGTGAGCTGCATGGTGATGATGTTCTAGGAAACTGTATCTGCTCTGATCCAGGAGGCTGCAAATATCCTACTGATGAACTGTAGTAATAATAATAATAAAAAAAAAACCATGACTAACAGGCATTTATGCTACACTCATTTATTTAATCATGACTGCTGCATTTGCTGTCTACACGTACTGCAAATTGCTGAGATGTTGTTAATTTTAAAACTGATAATATTCCCACCTACCCCCAAATCTACTCATACTTCAGAAAACTGAAATTTCACATCTCTTCCTTAGCAAAACCTTATGCCCTGCATACACACTAAGAAGCTGTACTAATTCACCTATTTTGATATACTATTTTTGTGTCGATAGTGCTGTATCAGTATAAACATGTAGATTAATAATAATTATAAAAAGAGAATTTGTTGGCTTGCCCAATTAACTAGAATTAGCTCTCAGTTAAATGATCACCATAGAACCTGCCATGGGGATTTCAGATGCAGTCCCTCAGCTGGAAGCTGGGCCCATGCAGCTGAGCCAGCTCATTCAGCACACCAAACAAGCACACCTCTGCTTCAGTCTAAAGTAACACAGCTTAAAGAGATGATTGCCTTTACCAAATAGGCTGTGGGAAAAGGAAGATGACTCAAGGAGATAAACAACCTTTCATTTGTTTGTAATATGTAGGAAAAGGATAACTTTAAAAGTTCATTTATGCCAGGTATTTTTCAGGGCAATCAGGGGAAAAACAGGTAAGTAACAGACATAGGCAAATGCTATCATACCACTAACTGCTCATACTGCTAGAGCCAGAACATCAGGTTGGTGGACCACAATCAGAATGGTGCCTATAGAATCCTGTACTTCATTTCTGTACTAATAGATAAAGTAAACATTCTGAGGGAATAAGAAAAAAATATTTTATTACTTTGAATTGTGGAAAAAAAGTAGCTGTAATCCTGTTAGACTTACCATTTTACTTATGTTGTCACAAGAAGTTGTTCCATCCTTTGTCCCACAGTTCAATTATAGAATTTTAATTTAAAGATTCCTTTCCATTAAAGCAGACAAGACTCAGTGAAAACTAAACCAGATGGTTTTATATCTGCACGGGATGTGTGCTCTCACACAGCTTTTCATCTGTCTACTGATTATAGTTTTCAATAGTGACCTGTATGTTTGAGACTATTCAGTTCCTGCAGAACAGTATTCTGGTTTCCTTGTCAAAGTGCTGCAACAGAACTATTTTGATAAAAGCAAGATGCTGTCATTAGTTGCTAGTCTGCTCTGAATTCCTAACAAATGTTTCCCTGTTCAAAAGAGAGGGACATTCTAAATGACACAAAAGATCAAGCAACAAAACTTCCTTCAAAAAAAGTCTGGGTGTATGTCTACGTATGACTTCACTGAACCTCAAATAGAACTACAGAAGAAAAGGCTAAAAAGAACCTTCAGATACAAAGAAGAATAATTCAGATTTAAGTAGATTAAGCCATGCAGCGATGACACAAATACTATTTAAGTCTCTGCACTCACAAGAGGATGAAGCAAGCTTCATACTGTTGCTGCTTGTTTAAAAGCTGCAAGCAAGGTATTTTTAAATGGTGCATATTTCTAAGTTCAAAAAACTAGAGAAAGAAAAACTTGTAACAAGCATTAATCCTAATTAATACTTTTAGGTTATCTTCCTATCTGTTCTCTCAACAAATACATTGTGCTGGGGACACAGATGTATACACAGGGAGGTCTGTACATGTAGACCAATTTGCTGTTACCAAGGTATGTAAAAGGCCAGTTATTTACCAAACAAAAGCCGAGCACAGGAAAAAGTTCCTGTACTTGTTTCATAGCCAGCTTTGTGCCAGCAGGCCTCGTTAGCAGCACAGACAAATTAAGCTGAGCTCCTTCCCGACAAAGCTCCGAAAAAGGCAGTCAGTCAGTCAGTCTTTTTCTGGGATACAAATTCTCTTTTCTCTACACCTTATTAAAGTGGTATCTTTGACAAAACCAAGTGAGTACGGATAGTCATCCTAAATGTTACTGCAAAAAGGCATTGCTACTGAACATGCTGGTGTTTCACGTGGAAGAAAAGCAATGCAGAAAACTTAAGACATGGAACTGTAGTAAAGTATTGCTGAAAGTGATATGGAAACAATGTTCTCCAGTCCAACCCGTACCTCCCAATTAAAGCAGTACTAGTTGTCTCAGTTAATTGCATAAGAGCAAAAATAAATAGATAATGAAATGTCTGTAAGTCTGCCTTTAAAATACATTTTAATATATGCAATACTATAGCAAATCCTGTCAGTTACAAGGCAATTAAGCCTAGTTGCTGAGAAATCAAATAACTGAGTTAAACTCACCTTAAATTATTCTGTTGACCTGATGGAATGACACTGTAGTAAACCGGCATTCCTGTTGTGGGTAATCCTTGATTTGACTGACTGGGAATTATAACAGGCTGTTGATATGTCTGCTGCGGCACTGCTTGGGAACCTTGAGGCACCGAAACCTAAAATTTGAGACCACGTTACAATTTTTTTTCTGCAGACAATGTTTCTTTCTGCCTCTTAACCATCACCTAGTTTATATAAAGATTTTTTTAAGAAAACAGAAACTGAAAGATGTGCTGGAATTCTCTAAATCCAGAAAACTAGTGATAACAGTAGTTGAAATAATAGTGCTTTATTAAAAAAACCCAAAACTTATCTTCTTCCTCCAAAATGGAAATGTCAGTTCCAAGTGACTCCATCAATTAACAAAAGAGATTTTCTCTGTAATAGAAAGTGGGGTGGTGGGGAGGGAAATCTTACGAGCTTTTTCTTCCCCATCCTCTGAATTGCAATTAACACAGCACTTGGCTTTCAACAGGACTAGAACTTCTACATACGTGACAGATTTTCTTCTCCCTGCAATTGTGGGGTTTTTTGTTTGTTTATTTTTTAATTTCTGTCCCCAAAGTCACCTTTGACACCTGCTTGCAGCTTTGTACCATTTACAAAGCAATGCACTTAACAACAACAACAACAACAACAACAAAATATCACTCAAACATGCAGAAGAATGGTTGGAAAGTTAAGAATAAATTACCCACCTGATAAGATGGCACTGAAGGATATGGAACAATCACACCCTGAATTTGATTCCCAACGTTGTTGTGTTGGCCACTGACCAGATTTTGATTCTGAGACTGCTGAACTCCGACTAAACCCTGGTAGTTTTGCTGCTGGTTAGGCAAAACCTGGTAACCTGAAATTATACATTTAAGTCTTACTTTGAAATAATGAACACATTTTATACACAGTTGCCTATGTGAAAATGTATGTGTAGCATTTTCCAATGGCTTTTTAAATCTGGCAACTTCATAAGAGTTGAACTTATCATGCATATAGAAAGAAGACAACATTAAAATTAACAGATTTATTCATTTGGATCCAGCATGAAATACTTACTAAACATACTATTTGCAATGCTGCTCTCACATGCTTGCAATATTTATTTACACTCTAAGTGAGTTACATGCATTAACACCTTGATTTGATAGGTAAAAGCTGAAAGCATTTGAACAAAGCATGCTAGATAATATCAAAACCAATTAATTGTCTATTATTATGAACAAGGCCATTCTAGGTACTTTACATTAAATTCTGCTACTACCTCAGGTGCCCTAGCGATGAGGGCATCTTGACTATGATTCAAAACTGAATCACACTTCAAGAAAATTTGTGTAAGGCACATGTGCACATCTTTTTAAAAAGGGCAATTTCTACTGAAATCTGTAATGCTAAAAACAACTGGGAACTGAGAAAAATCTTCCAGGTAAAAGCCATGTTCGCATACAGTGGAAGACAAGTTATATTCAAAGTTATCTTGGGGAAAAAAAATTTTCATATTCACCCCTCTGTAGTGCCTCTACAACAATTTATTATTGCTTAAACTGGTATCCTCTGCTAACTTTCAAAAATGGCCTAAAAAACCTCCAACCCCCCAAAAAAACCAAACCAAAAAAGCCCCCAAGTGTGAGTGCCAAATAGGAATCTGTGCATTTATTATGTCCAACCTTAGCCTCCGCTTTATTTTTTTTATTTTTTTATAAAGCTTATAGTAGGTAACTGCTACCATGATCAAAACACATGCAGAACACAAGTAAAGTTCTTTTTGTCATATTCTGTTATACAGGTATGTGCTACTTACCACATCAGCAAAAAACCATCACTATCAGTGTTTCTGAGACAAAGCCAGTTATCGCTCCAGAGTAACAAAACTGGGCTTGTCAAGATGCACTGACGGCAAGAAGAGTCTGTATTTAACTTGGACACATTCACATTCTACTGACCTTGACATTCCCCATGCTCCCTACCTTGGTATGGAACTATAATGAAGCAAATATAGCTGCAAAAACTCATGTGGATTTTTTTTTGAACTGCGTTTAAAAAAATTGCACAGTCTATTTTGAAAATAATTCAGTTAACATGAAACACTTCCTTTTGTAAACAAAACCCACCAATGTTCATTGATTACATACAGTGTACAATGAACACTGCGAATTAACAGCCTCAGCTGGCTGTCTCTATAGAAATTGCAACAACAAAGACTAAAAAAAGACTACTAATATAATCAACCATTGCTTCAGAAAATTAAAAAGAAGGTTCAGTTTGTTAAAACCAAGAGAGCTATTCATTAGAAATGCACAACACACTATAAATATTTTCAGAGTAGTATAGAAAATTTCAGAGCAATGCATGCTTGAATTAGCATTAGTAATTAGAATTTTTAATAACTCTTAAGTTTGAACTGTGCACAAAAATCCATCTCATATCTGCAATAAAGAAAATGCGTAAATGTACTTTGCTACGAAATGATCTATGGCACCTAAAAAGCAGCAGAATGTGAACTTGCGGTATATGAGAGATCCAATCAATACATCTGCAACCTAAACCCCTCATTTCCCAGAAACTGCAATGTAGCTGTGAATATTTTTCAGCTTTTTCTGGCACTTCTGGAGACATACATGATCAATTTTGCAAGCAGAGAGAACTGGAACGACATAAATTGACTGCCAAGAAGGTTCCCCACAGTGTTCCAAAGAATGCTCTATTTTTAGCTTCACGATTTCACCTCTGCATAGAGAGTGGTCTGACAGAAATGCAGCACTCAGCAGAAAACCCACACCTGCCGTAGCAGATTGTCTCATTACACAGAAATCCTCTGAAACAGTAGATAAAAAAAGAAGCATGCTTCTTAATATTTACATAATTAAAAAGAAATCAGTGTTAATATAAGAGAAGTTAACTTACAGAATATAGAAATACATTTTCTGAATAACACACTAAGAGTAAGAAACAGCCTTTATTCAAGAACAGAAAAGCAAGTACAATCATTTGGTTAACAAGCTATGAGTATAGCTTGATTACAACTATTACAACTGCAGCTATTATTGCAACTGTAATAGTTTTATCCCTGGCCATTGTGAAGCAGAAGCTAGTTGAACTTTAGCTGATGTTCCTACAGTAATTGCAGTTCAGATAAGAGTTTTAATCAACCTCTAGGTCTCATGGTAACTGGGCCCTCATTATCATGGTAATCGGAAATGCCGCCTTCTTAAAGAGAGTTTTCTTCTCCCAATATCTTTTGGGCAACCAAAGCATTTTTACTAAAAGTGAACGCCCTAAATATTTCACCTGAAACCCCTTTAAAAAGGAAGCCAGGAAGCAGCTGAAAAAGAGACCGGTTCACTGTGAGAAATGTAAACCTCTCAGACAGTGTTACGGCCCCGAATCCAACAGCTCATAAATAAAGTCAGGCCACTCCATATTATTAAACCAAAAGTGGCTTCAGTTGCCGTGCTCTCAGCAGCTGTCATCTTTTATCTAAATTTGTGTTTGGAAAGTTATTTCACAGTTAGTAATCACTTCATAAGATGAATAAAACCCACAGCTTTTATGTAATACAGGACTTGTCAATTCTCACTTTTGACCAGACACATTGCTATACTACCCAAGTAACGTGCTGCCTTTTGTCTCAAAAACAGCCGTTGCTAATAAGCATCAACCATTTCGGATGTAGCTTTATGTCAACTTAATACAAATATTTACGGTTTAAAATAAATCTACAAGAAAGATAATTTTGAAATACACCATCTCATGAGCAGTTTACAGAACAGAAAACATGACATGGAACCTTCCATCTCTAGAATGCCGATTCAAATTTGCCTATAAAGCAGTAAATGAGAGCCAGCAATGGCTAGGTAGCGATTTGGAGATTTTGAGTTAAGCACTAATTATGCAGTTGCTAGTATAATACTTCTCTCTACCATTAGTGCTAGTAAACACCAAGTAACCAAACAGGACTGAATGGCATTATTGGCTGGACCACCCCTTCACTACTTAAACGTGATCCCTTGAAGTCAGGGTTACAGGTACAAAGTACATTATCAAAGCAGTAAAGTAGCTGTCTGCACAGCTTGCTTGGTTTATTTCTTCTAGGACATAGAGGGAGATTTTAGCTACTGATGCCTTTCACCCTGTCCACATTACAGGCAGTGAAATTCAGTTAAAATGTAAAGAGCTAAAATCATACAAGAAAGAAACTTACTTACCTAATAGCAACTGATTCCTCTCTTTGCATCTTGGTGCTGATGCACCATCACCCCATGCTTTCAAATTCAGATTGTTTTGTTTAGCTACATACATACACTGGGCTCTCTCCGATTTAGAGAGTGTGTGCGCTATTCACAGAGGGTGTCCCCCAAAACAGGGAAGTAACCCCAGTTGAGCCTCAGACTTTTTGCTATTAAGTAGTCTAGGTATTAAAAATTCTGAGGAAGGAAAGCAGGTTGTATAATACAGTTGAATAACACATCTTTAAACGCCAGTGGATAAAACAAGTTGCAAAAATGAGTAGTTTGTTTTCCTTTGGAATAAAATGTCAATATACTTTCACTTCTGAAAAGTGGTGATCTATTTGCAGCAAGCAGGTACTAACAATACTTTATAAAATGATCTGACAACCCTACCACAAGTGGGCATCACATCTTCATGATTCTGCAATGAAATAATCCCATGTAAATTTGTGAACTGAACCCCTGAATAACAACTTCAAGTGTTGCTGCTATTGGAGCACTTCCTAAAAGAACTGCAGAAGAGGGAACCATCCCTCTCTTCCAGGCTACTTCATAGAACAGCTATAAAGAAATCCAGTTCATATTTGTAAAAGCTGATCTTTCATCCTATTTCTGTAAAGCAACACATAGTTGGGGGTGGGGGAAGAATTAAAAATCCTTCTTTCTGAAGGAAACTCAAAAAGGACACTAAGTCTAATGTATTCAACTAAGACATGGTATAAAAGCCTGATTTTTAAGGGTGTCTGCCTCCAAACATCACTAGTTACTTCTGAAAGTTTTGACTGTGAGTCAAGATATTACTGAGAAGTAAATTTGTTTCAGGAATCCAAACCTTACTGAAAAAGTCATAATGGTATTTTTAAGTACAGATGATCAGAATACTGGTAGCTACAGTTACAATTTGTAAGGAAAAAAAGACAATAGGAGAGAAAGGAGACAGAAATACCTTTCTACGAATGTTATCAAGCTGTAACTCAGAAGCAGTTGAAAAGTCATTACTAAAAATGGAAGGAGCAGAAAACTAATTCTAACCACTTAAGTCTCATTATATATTCTATTCAATACCCAGATACCTTTAATCATAGGACAGAAAGACAAATTAAAACAGTATCACCAGTATCTTCTACACAGCACTCTTTTCATGCCACAACATCTAATAGTAGTATCTTTTGTTTAGAACTTTAAGGTACATATCTGCAATGTTACATCATTCAAAGGTACTAATTCATCTTACTTTGTGAATTACTAAAAAGTTAGCAACTAAGTTGCAAGTTTTTTAAATTATTCAGTTCAAAACTTAAAAAAAAAAAAGGCATTATCCTATAATTAAAGTTACAGCATGAGCCACTCATAGTAATGGCTCAAATCTAAAGTTTCACGAACAACTGACTCAGATTTTTTTTTTCCCACCTTAGCTTAGTTATACTTTGCATCCCATATTTGAAGTTTGACTTTATTTGAAATTTTACAGCAAAATAAGTTTAAAAAGCAAAATCAGGAGAAAACGTACAGGAAGTATTCTAATGAAATGCTGAAGGAGTTCAACAAACCTGTCTGCTGTCCAGGCTGTGCTAATGGTTGGTTTTGCTGTGTGTTGTAATGGACAGAAACAGGTCGGTATTGTTGACTGGAGTGCGGATACTGATTGGGGGTACAATAACAAGCTGGCATCTAAAAATGAACAAAAGTTAAAGAGATTCACTATCTGCAAGTTTCTAGAAGGCAGACATCTAAACGCAAAAACAATCATACGATAAAAGAAAGATGCAAAACTTATTAAAAGGTGCAACTAATGTTAAATAGTTTCGCAATTAAAAAAAACTTATACTACGTAAATTCCCTCTTTAACAGCCAATTTCTTCTACTTTCACTGTAGAAGTAACAACTCCCAGTTTCCACAAAGAAACATCTGAGACACTAGAAAACTACGCAGAACGTGAGTTTTACCAGCTACAGGTAAATAGGAAAACCTGGGTGATTATTGCTCCTCACATAAACTGAAGTCATTCATTTCAAAGCACATAAGGCAGAAAAAAACCCCCAACCCCAGCATAAATGCACGCAGCTGCCATTTAACACACACCATACAAAAAGCTCAGTAATAGAACAGCACGATCAGTTGTTAAATACAGCTTGTGGGAGAATGGAAACGGAGCCACTGTACCTGTGGCACAGGTTGCTGCATATATCCCTGCTGCTGGAGTACTTGCTGGTTGACGGGGTGGCTAGATGTCGAGTAGCCTGGAGCAGAAACTGGTTGGCCGGAGGGTGGTGGAGGTGCAGCAGCTGCGATGATATAACCAGACTGCTGTGGGGGCTGGAGGACTACAGTGGACTGGAACATAGCAGTATGAGGTTCAGCTGGATCAGCAGGTGGCTGACGGGCAAGACTCATATGGCTAAATTGCGATCCTAGGTTGTCTTGCTGTAATAGTTAAACAAAGGAAAAATTACATTCACAAACGTACCTTCAACAACAAAACAGAATAAAATAGCCAAATATCTCAGTAAGTTTCAGATACGCATGTCTCAAATTACTGTGCATTAGCAACATCAGCCAAAGAACAACAGGAAAGAACAAAATGGAACACGGCAGTAGATTATCTTCAGGGCTGACAGCAGGAGAGAACATCCACAGTCACTAGAGACTTCATTCATTTCACTGCAAATATTTGATTTTTGGATTACATCTGCCTCTATCTACTTATTGTAAGAATTCAACTGTCAAAAATAAAGTCAGAATTCGTGTCACTAACATTTTCTGATTGGACTCCAAAGCTTGAGTGAAAACATCTAACCACAGTTAAAACAGCAGAAGGCATTAGTATTGCTAAAGTAATTTTTGGTTTTAAGAACTGAAGTTAATGAGGCTCTAATCCTGAATAAGGAGGTACACTCCTCTAACTTAGCATGATACTACATGCAAGGATTAATTTTTTTTTAGCCTGAAATCAAGTAACAGCTGCAAGAAATGTATTCTAATGGTTACCTACTATCTGTATTTTATGAACATCTGAAACTATGATACTGATTGCACTGAGCACTCCAGGAGTTCTGTGAAATTTGAGCTTGGGGTTAGTGACAGAAGTTTCCTTCTCTTCACAAGCAATTCAGCATCAAATTATCAACATCCTGGAAATTAGAAGTGATCACCAGTATTGTACTTTTTTGTACTTCAAAAGTGGACTCTCCAAACATGGAGGAACATTAAAAATATTTTAAGACCAGTTGATCTTCTCTTAGATCATCCTGAAGAAGACAGGAGTTCATCAAGACAGAGTAAGTGAAGCTCCGTCTTTTACTGATTAGCTACGTTCACATTTTATGATGAACTTTTATAATTCCCAGGCTAAAGATATTCTTAATTACCACTGGAAATATGAATTTGCACCTGAAACTTTATTTAGAATACATACATAAAAAAAAATTTAAACGCTCTATTTTCATTAGATCAACCATCTAACTATGACTTTGGCATTTCACTCTTTAATGATGCCTATTAACGTAACTGGAATGCTTTTCTCCATTGGATTTTACATTCTGCTTTTTATAATACCTGGTTTAGAGAAGAGATACTGATACTTAATTATGAGTTAATATTACCTCTAAAAACGTCCAAAGGATAAACCCAAGGAATACACATTTATTTCTGTTACACTACCAACATGAGTAAATTCTGATCCGGTCAGTTTGTCCTACAGTGATATGTGTAGTACAAGCATGATTAACCACTGAAACATGGTATTACCAATAAACGGATAAAGCAAACCTTCCTAGTATCAACTACAGATGTGTTGGATTTAGATTATGAACCAAGACCATCCATCCTTTTCACTATGTTACTTTAGTTACCATCAGCAGGAATAAATTTTTGAAACTGCCAGCACACTTAGTATTTGAACCCATTTCCTGAGTGTGAAATGCTTTGAAATTATGATAAACCTGGAAGGAGTTTCATTCTCTACTTTAACAACCATATACCTGACAATGACTATGAATCATAGCATAGAGACACCTGAACTAGCTGCTACTAACAGCAATTTAGTCATATGCTAAACTTGCATAGAAAGCTCACATTGGTTAATTAACCATTCTCATTTCATTACTAAGGAGATAAGTTATACTGACTGCAGTCCACACGTATTCAAACTCTAAAATAACAGGAGAAACAACATCACTAGTAACAAAACACCCTCCAAGAAGTGCAATTGCTTTTTGAATTGTATACCTAAAGCACAGATAACAGTTACAATATAGTTTTAATTATATCCAGACTATTGAATTCAGATAAATCTGTATCTCTTATTAGAAGACATTTCTGATTAATGTTGAAAATAATAACAAAATAAAAACTCTGACTACATACTAAAATGGCTATTGTATAACACTGTTGTGGGTTAACCTTGGCTGGCTCCTAGGTGCCCACCAAGCCACTCTATCATTCCCCCATCCTTAGCAATACAGGGGGAGAAAATAAGATGAAAAGCTCATGGGTCAAGAAAAGGACAGGGAGATCGCTCGCCAGTTACCATCACAGGGAAAATAGACCCAACTTGAGGAAGATTAATTTAATTTATTGCCAATTAATAACAGAGTAGGATAGTGAGAAAAACAAAACTAAAACCAGCTTCCCTCAAGCCCTCTGCTTCTTCCCAGGCTCAACTTCACTCCCAACTCTTCTACCTCCTCCTCCAAGTGTCACAGGGGGATGGGGACAGGGACTGGGGGTTGTCATCGGTTCATACACCTTGTTCCTAGGGCTCCTTCTTCCTCCCACTCTTCCCCTGCTCCAGTGTGGAGTTCCCACGGGATACAGTCCTTCATGAACAGATTGCTCCAGCATGGGCTCCTCTCTCCATGGGGCCACAGCTCCTGCCCTCCATGGCCTGCAGCTTCCTTCAGGGCATCTCCACCTGCTCTGGTGTGGGATCTACATGGGCTGCAGGGGGAGAACCTGCTTCACAATGGTCTTCTCCACAGGCTGCAGGGGAAACTCTGCTCCAGCACCTGGAGCACCTCCTCCCTTTCTTCTTTCTGACCTTGGTGTCTGCAGAGTTCTTTCTCACTCCTCTCCCTCACAGCTGCTGCACAGTGTTTTTCACCCTTTCTCAAATACATTATCAGAGATGCCACCAGCATCGATGACTGACTCAGGTTTGGGCAGCACGGGGTCAGTCTTGGAGCTGCCTGAAATTGGCTCTGTCCAACATGGGGGCAGCTCCTGGTCTCTTCCAGCAGAAGTCACCCCTGCAGCCCCCCCACTACCAAAACCTTGCCACATAAACCCAACACAAACATGTATTCGTTAGAGTATCAGAGCAGTTTGGGGGGTTGGGAAGCCTCAATTTTTTGACCTGGACCCAAGGCAGAAGCTGAACTAGGATAACTCTTCCCCTTTACTAGGTTTCAGTTTCAATTTGTGTGTGTGTGTGTGGGGGGGGGGGGTGTTTATTTGTTTTGGTTTTTAAACACAAAAGACTAAGGTATTTCATTTCCAGCTTCTATTTATTAAACAAGGGATGTTAATGAAATAGAAGTGTTAAGAGTTCTGGTAAAGAAGCTAGAAAAAGGTAACCTCAAAAAACAGAACAGCTGATCCCTCAAAATGTATTAGGGTTCAGCAGAAGAAAGAGCAGACAAAGAAACAATGAGAAAGGATGGGAAAAGGTTAATCCAGAGACATAAAAAGGTACTGACTGGCTAACAAAACAATGGCATTGAAAAGCTGTTCCTTTATAAAGGGAAATAATATATATCTAAATATTGAGATATATAGGTATAGCCTTAATTATATACATTTTTGCTGAACTTGAAATAAACCCATTAAATTCTCAGGAACTATTTTTCCCCCACTCAGGTAATATTTCACTTGGATTGTAAAGCTAGCCAGTCATTACACTGGTATCACACACCACTTACAAACAACCAAGCAAAGGTCAGCATCCACTAAAGATTAACCCGTGCAGAGAGGAGATGAACAGAAGGTGTAATACCACAGAATATTGCTGTGTAGAGGAGACTGGCAGGAGCGGGGGTGGATAAGAGACTGCAGAGTACTGAACAGGCTGGGAAGAAGGCTGCAGAGGCCGCATAGGCTGAAGAAATAACAGGTTTATAAACATGGTTAACATCAGAGTAAGAGAAGTGAAAACAAAGTCAAAGTCTTTTGTAATAGGAAAAAGCAACTATGCTCCATTACCGGAAAGGGAATGGATACTTCTTTTTTTAAGCTCAAGACTGCATAGAATTAAAACAGAAGTAATTTTCAATATCTCAAGTCTCCCAACACAAATATATTTGCTTTATTTGTTATACATTATATTAGCTATAAGTCAGCAAATTGCTTCTGTTTAACATTTACTGTTTCTTTTAGAGATTTTGTTTTTGAAATTATAAAAACTACACATGCATTCTAAATACAAGTTGTTTCAAAGCATCTAAAGACAGAATGAATTTACTACTAACCACAGATTAAAACATATTACTTTCATTTATTCAACAGTAGTAAAATATTTTTTCTATATTGTGGTTATCTGAACATCAGAGAGGTATCATTGCTGCTAACAGTTCAGGTAGGTTCAACTCCAGTATCCATTGAGAAGGCAACCATAGAAGTAGTAAAGAATTTGTGAAGAAAACTGCAAATACCACATACACACTTCTGTAAACTAGACAGGGAGAAAGAGTACAAATGAGCCTTTTTCAAAACAGACTATCTATACTGTGGCATATGCAGGTATCCTGAATAGAAGATTTAAACAGGGAAAGTGAACAAAGATAAAGGTTTAGGTGAAGTTCTATAAATAACTTTTTGATGAAATTTGAGAACAATTTGAAAATACCACAGGAGACTATAGCCAGTAGCTTGGTGCCCAAAATAGCTGCTGTGAAAAGAGGTAGAGCCCTCCCTTCGCCTGCCCATATGCACTCTTTGCTTTTCTTCTCTTCTCCTTGAAGGGCTGAGGTCATCTTTAATCTGGCCTATTTTACTAAATTCCTCTTGTACAAGATGAGGATAAAATATATCCTGTACTTCAGCGTGCAGGTTTTGTGAGTAGAGCAAGCCAAAGTGCTACTAAAGCGGCGTTCATACTCTACCACTCCTAAGCTACCTCTTTTGTGCCATGAGTACTGCTTGTGCAGTACAGCCCAAGAATTCATCTGGCTGAAAAATAACCTTAAGACAAGGCGACAAAGATTTCAGATGGATTAACTCTCTTCCCAGATTGCTGACTGTATTAGTGTTACCGCCAGGGTTAAAACAACACAGCGTGACTAAGGATGAAGGCAGAGCCTCTTTTCCAGAGCAATCTAGGCTTGGGATGTTCTTGATACCGTAACATTTTCATACTAAAATATCTTCTGTATTTTTAAGAAAAGGCTGCCTACCGTGGTCAGTTATTAGCAGAACTGATAGTTCTGAGGACTGTGGGGGAAAAGTCCGGTTACCTGTACCTGTGTAGCTATTACTTCTTAACGTATGCTTCAGCAGAACAAACCTGCTGATCCCTTGTTATCAGACAGCAATGTGACAGTATCAGTGATCAATACAAGGATCATGTATTTGACATGTGCACCTGTGAGAGGATGTGGTTAGCTGCTGGCTGTTGCTGAGGTGGCGCGGGAAGAGGTGGCTGTTGCGGAGGTCCAGGCACTTGGGTCCTAACAGGTTGCTGAGGCATAGGAGGATTGTACACAACTGGAGTGCCATCTGGATTAAGGAATGGCTGACCTGACGAGTTGAAAGAGAACAAACACAACCAAATGACAACCAGCTACATCATCTAAGTTTGGAGAGAATAAAGACAAATGTATTTACAGCAGGCAAAATGAATAAAATACTAAAAATTTGAAAATAAGCGATCATACTGTTTTATATGACAGATTTATGCCAAATCCCCACAACTACATTTATAATAGCAATGACTAAACAGGCCTCACTTGAGAAACTACATGCAGTTAAAAACCAAAACATTTAAGGTAAACAAAGATACCCCAGTCTTTACTTAGTGAACACAGATAAATATTTGCTGTATCCTGCTTGTCCTGAAAACTCATTTTTAATTAAGTGGATTGAAAAGGGCAGGAGTAATAAAGGAAAACCCTACTAAAAATACTATTTTAATGACCTTTTAAAAGGCAATTAAATGAATCTCCGTTAATCAGTTTGAGCACCAATCAGAACACAGGAGAGCTTAAAGGCAAATATTTTAAAAAATATATACAAAGCAGTGGCTGCAATGGTATTCCCGTAACTGCTAATGAGGTTACTGTTAAAGGACTCTCTTCCCCTATTCATAGATGAATTGGCTTTTAGCTTTCAAATTAAATAAGATAGTACTCTCCTATTTAATAACTTGCAACTTAAATATTACAGCAGTGGACTAATGAAAAACAATTAAAAAATGAACTACTTAAAAGTAAATTACAAACAGACAGTGATTTATTTTGGTGCCTGGGTTGGGAAAAAACCAAGACAAATCAAAGGAACAACAGATTAGCTAGCAAGGACCTGTGTCTAGCTGCTTAATGATGTGTCTTGCATTGGCTTATTTTGATGCTTAAGGACCAAATACCGATGTAAATTTTTCTCCCCTCCAATATAAATATTTTCTTGTTTGAGCTTCTTTCCAAAGGTACAAACTGAGACTAAAGCCTTTGCACCCTAGCCAGGGCCCTGTCAAAGTACACTAATGCTCTTTCAGACTTCTTCATCCCATCATATTTAAATGCAACTGGCCAACATAAAAGTGTGGAAGTTACCAACGAGAGGACTGAGGCAATTAATGCAAGAGACAGACAGGAAGCATGAACAGACTTGCAAAAATAAGCTACATATTATGCAGCTGGACTGCAGGTGATCAAGCTACATTCAATTTAGCTTAATGGATTTCTCTTTAATGCTCAAGAATTGGGAATGTTCACACAAACAGGGAGTCAGATTTTCTTATTTCCTTCTACCACTTACTGGTAATCGCAGGAGTTTAACTTGTTTTCAGTAGTGGCTGAGTAAGAACTGTCTTTTCCTAATTACCATCTTCAACTACTGAGAAGAATGACTCTGTTGACCTAAGGTCACGAGATCCTCTGTCAGAAATGCTGAGAAACTAATCTATGTTATTTGAACTCTTGACTGTCACTTGGAACAATAAAGCCAGATGAACAACTACAGAATATGATGATTCGAGTACATTATAAGTCAAAAGTTTATCTGAACCTAGGTATTCCTTGTTCTGGAAGTGTACTTTATCTTGTATTAGCCACTCATTAGATACTAACATAATCTTCTGTTATGAAAGACTATTAATGACTGGTTTAAATACATTAAAAATGGATAAAACATAGGAAGAATCACAATTTGAAAACAAAGCTAATTTTAATGGATATCAGAGTCAAGTCTACAATTCTGCTGCCTTCTCTAAGGGGGTTGCAGATACAAGCTGCTTTCAGATGAAAAGCTTTCACAGTCACATTTGTTTCTCTGCCCTTCCCTGTTGCTAAGTGGAAGTCCCATCAGTTAACAGGGAAAATGACCAACAGTACAGGAGGAAGAAAGTGAAACTAATCACATGCAAAATACTGACAAGCACATAACTGAAATGAAGATGACTCAAAACCTGCTATTTTTTAAAGGACAAAACTGTGTCATGTTTTACATGAAATCCCTTTCAAGCCAATGGCATTGTTTCAGCGCCTGCAGTATCCATTTTGCTGTACAGTAACTCTAAAGATTTTAGCATGGTCATGCTATAAACTCATAATATGAAAAATGACAGCCAACATTCTTCATACTTAATGTAGAGTACAAAGTACTCTAGCGTATACAAACACTAAACCCACTTATTTTTCTAGCAAAACTTGTTCACTAACTAATCATCATATTTGTCTTCAGATGGTCAACACACACAATGGAAAATTCATGTATAAGATGTACAACTATCACATTAGCATTAGAAAAACTAAGTCAATAATGCTCTTGTCCAGAACCTAGACTTAAGAGAGCAAATACATCCTCCTCCAAATCCAATGGCTATCTATGAAAATTAGATGCTACAGCTAGTCATTTGTAACAAACTATTTAGCAGGGTTGGCTTAACCTATTCGTTTATACAGTAAGGCATTTAAGAGAAACCTTAGGCAGCATATCAATATGCAGAATCATTAAAAAAATCTCAAATTTTGTATACAGTAGCAATTGATTTATATTAAGGACAAAGAGAAATTTATATGTTTCAATGTTAAACCTTTTAGTTATAGAAAAGAAATTTTATAAATGATCATTTTAACAACCTCAATGAGAAAAATTTAGTTTAAAACATCACATGCAGTTATATTCAAACATAATAAAGTCCATCTACGGAATGATGGGAAATATATCCTGAAGTATTTTCTTTTCTACATGGAAAACAAATCTTTAAACTAAAACATAATAATTTTCCAAAGATTACGATGTATTACATAAAAGGTAAATTGAAGTTTTTAGGGTTTCTTAACTTCTACAATAAAGTAAAAGTTTGCCCAGAGAATGCTAACTAGTCATTTAGTCCAGAAAAGTGGTTAAACACCTCCTTGCGTCTACATTATGAAGTACCAATTTCCTACCACTTACTAGAAGTATCAGTATAAGCCAATTACACCAACATTACTTTAATCCTGTTTTAAACTGACACACATAAATTTAGAAACAGCATGTAATCTCATGCTTATTTCCATGAAAGATGATAAATTCTTTCAAGTCAACGTGACTACTTCTTGAGGCTCTCCCCCCTCACTGCAACTGTTTTATAGTAGCACTGGGAAAGACTTTTCCCTCTCCCCAAAAAAGCCAAAACAATTAAAGTTATTCTGCGTTCTGGATAATAAATCATAGGATTTTCATATTTTGTGCAAGTCACTCATTAAAATTTTACATATAAGTTAAAACTCTACTAGAGAAAATCAAGTGAAATTACTTATTCCTTTGATCCTAGAGTCATGCTTTCTTTTTAAATTAAGTGCACTGAACAAACACAACCACAGAAAAAAATATAAAGAGAAAAAGCAAGGACAATACAGACATTCAGTCTTATGTAAACACTCGTGCATTTTTCTCCAAGTTCTCAATTGTAACAAGAACATCCACAAGCATGTACCAACCTGTTTGAGGGTTGATCAGAATACTGCCAGGCGGTATGCCTGCCGCTTCCAAGGGAAGCAAAAAGAAGCTAGTGCTAGTAGGTGCCACTTGCCCGCTTATGCCACCATCAAAGGAAAGAGAGTTACTAGTGCTGACAGTTGGATAGACGGCAGGCGTGCCATGAGAAGGCTGGCTTAGAGCTGGCACTGGAAGAGGCTGCTGGGTGTGAGAAAGAGAACCCGTGGATGACCCTACACTACTAGAAGACTCTGAACCTAGGAAAGGAGTAATGAGAAATTGTTTTTACCTAGAGACAGAAACATCATGCTCACTTAAAATATATACTTGTAAATGCTTACCCTTAAAGCTCAGTGTTAAGTACAGTATTAAACATTGGCCTTTTCAATGAACTCCCCCCCCCTTCATCTCCCCTGGAATACCATTACAAGACTCCTGTGACCCAAGGGTCAATCCAGCACTGCTTTGCACTGTAAAGTGAGGCTTTCATATCTAGTTCTGATGTTCTGGACAGAAAATACATGCCTGTACATATGCACACGTGCTAATGTTCAGTTCATCTGCAGTTCATTTAAGTGATTGGTCACTTACTCCAAAATGATGCATGCACATGTATCAACTGGATACACCGAAGCAATGAACACACAGCCTACAACTATTGCATATGTGCAGGCCACGGGGTAGTGCAGATGCAGTGGGCCCAAAGTCCCTTCAGATACGCTAGCTAAATTCACATGCTCTGTAGACATAGCCTGCATGCAAGCAATGACCATTTTCTTTTTACTACTAGATGTCAGAGATCTTCTCTGACTCACCTGCTGGACTAATTGTAGAACACTAAAAACCCCAAACCTCTTTTTTTCCTCCTCTGACAATTTTCAAACCAAAAATCAAGAATACAGCTGGAAAAAATGATGGTAACATGGTAGCTTTAGCCTAGTTTTATGCAACAATTCAAAGTTCAAAAGGAGTATGAAATAGCTGATTGAAAGCAATAATCATTTTACAGATATGAATGACTATAAACATTGCAAGGCAGTGGAGAACTGGACCCTGAGCTTTCTGAAAGCCAATGCATGCAACTAAAAGCAATGTTCCAAAAGTTCAACAGGAGAGGTCTGTAAAACTGCACTGTTCCTGGATCACTGTATACCTAGGTCTCTAGGTATACAGTTTATCATACTTTTTATTAAGTCTTTGCTACGATACTTGCAGTACTTGGAAACAGAATATAGTTGTTTAAATTTAAGAACTCTTCATTAGCAGCCTCTATACAATCTAGAAGAGAAAGCAAGACTCAAAAAAGGCTGTGATGAAATTTATCTGTTTGAAGTTACTTTGCAGTCCTTCATAAAAATTTCTGATTGTAACCCTTTTCCTTGTATGTATGAAAAGACAGCATAGTTTGAAGCATTTGTTGATGCTGACTATTATTAACCTTTTTTGTATTTCACTTCATCTAGCAATAGAAAGCTATTAATTGTAAACTGGGCAGAATAGCATATCCCAGCTCTGTAAAACAATCTTCACCTGACCAGTTACTTTGATTAGATTTGTTTACAAGTGTATCCACTTCTAGATTATGCAGAGAAATCAGGCTGAAGCCATCACAATTAAAAGCCAATTACATCCTTGATCACAATGAACAAACAAAACCAAATCTCAACACATGCAAAATCACCACAACCTGTAACTGCAGTGAAGCAACAACCATCAAGATAGGCATTCTGAACTTTGAATGTTAACTCACAGAATGCCAAAATAAAGTTTCCAGGGAAATTTTAAGAATCCATTTATGTTCTTGCAATTTAGAAAACAAAGAACGTATTTTATATATACACTATTGTGAGGTTGTAGTTTCTTTTCAAGCTGTGCCAAATAGTATTACTACATCGCTAAATGAAATAACTCAGTATGATGGCACAATTTCACAGCATATGCAGAAGTATTTTGGAACGTAATTTTTTTTTTTAATACAAGTAAACAATGGACAAACAGAATTTGTAACTGTTTTACTGCAGTAAGATATAGAAGTGTGGTGATATACCTATAAGGTAGTGGTGATTTAAGTGAAAGCAAAAAATTTTAACAGATCCTCATTAGAAACAAGTTTTATAAATGAGATCAAAGCCAAGCATAATACAGGCAAGCAATAATATTCTGCTTTTTTATACTTCTACTTCAAATTCTGCAGTAGTGCATCTGTAACCCATCCATGTATTACAAGCCTCAAAATTCTCCACAACCAAGATTATCTATTGGATCAAATTACATTGGCATTTGGAATACAAATATTTACTAAATTTCATTTCTGACCCACAGAATATTTATATCCCCATTTTATGAGATCTTGTTTTGACATTACAAGTTAACACACCTTTGAAACCCAGACTCTTACGAGTATTTTCCTCCAACATTCTGAATCTTAAAATTAAACAGTACTCTTTGTTCCACTGATCTGATTTTTCAGCAATCTAAAAATTAAGTAAGCTTTTGAGCCATATTCATTTAAATTTAACAATGGCACTGAAAGATAACATAACAAATATAACTAACGATTCATGGGCTTTAATGCTATTTTTTCCTAGCTAGTAGGATAGCAGCACACAGTTTCCTAAGATTGCACAATGCAGCTTTTGCCACACTGAAACTAAAGAGTTGAACTCTAGATTTTTATTTTGTATAAAGTACTTATGTTGATGTTTTCAAATCCTTTATGAGATGAAATGTATTTAGCTTAAAGCCATCTATAATGCACTTTAAAATTCTACTTCTAAAGTCAAAAGTCTTCATTTAATTTGTTACCTGAATTCTAGCTCTCCAAGGTAGTTACACAGCTAGGTCTGTAGTCATTCTACCCACTGTATCCAGAGGGAGTTGTATGCACGGAGCACCTACGAGACTGAGGCCTCTACATATGTACACATCTGCAATACGCATCAAGTATCAAACCACCAGGTACTTCACTGCTACGTAACTATGTATTTGTACAGATTTTATTATACCTGTCTTAGACAGCCTGCCTGTGCTTTTGCTGCTTCCAGAGCTATCTCCTCTTGTCAGAACTGATATCCCACTGAAGCTGCTGGCTTTCGTTACAGCTGGCTTCAGATTGCGGATGGAACTATCAGAGTCGGTGCTGCTCCAGGGACGGGGTTCACAATACTTCAGCTCATTCTCAGTACTGCTCTGATGGCTGTTGGCTGATCTCCCTGATGTTTCCTTATTGATTCTGTAAGTTATAAACTAAACTTTTAGCACAAGCATCAATTGCAAAATAAGGGAAAAGAAAAAAAAGAAAAAAGAAAAGAAAGAAAAGAAAAGGTGAAACGCATGCAGAATACTTTGGGATTTTTTTTTTTTTTTTAAAGAAAGCATCAAATACCTAAGTATCTGTCGTCTTTGTTGTGTACTATTAGTTTCTTCCTCCTGGATTCTGTTGACATTTTAATAAGATAGCTTAATATTTATTAAGAATATAGGAAAATGAAACAGAATTAAACTGCAAATTTTCTTACCTTTTATCAGTGAAATAATTCTCTTGGGAACACAGGGACTGAGGGGCAAAGAAGTGTAGAAATTAATATGAATGGCATCTAGAACCCCTACTACAGCACAGTGATGAAACATGCTGCAATTTGGAGTCTTTTGTATTATACGTGGACTTTACAGCATCCTCTTTATATTAAGCTGCCTGAAAACTTAACCTCTTTGGTGGATAATTTCCATGTTATGGGAAAAGACAGACAATATAAAAAGGCCCATCTGCAGAAAATAAAAGTTAGCATTAGAATAGTTACAGTGATGACCATTTTGTTTATATCAGTATTTTTCTGAAGTTACAATTCTTCCACTGGGCCTTCGCTGCCTTACGTAACTTCCAGCTGATATGTGACTTCACAAGTCTGTTAATACCACCTGAATTGCCTTGTCTTCTGCTTGAAAGTGTGAAGTAGAAGATGATGCTGGCTACTGCAATAATTGCACTGAATTCTCTGGGTACAAGTACATATATGCTAAAAAGCAGACAGAATATACAATCAAAAAGGCTATTATTAACTTCAATTATGTTGTCCTTGACTGTGACCTCTAACATTTGGCACAAAGCTTCTAAGGGTACAATACATGGTAAATGAGTACGCAAAAGTAAAAAGTAATTTTATATTCAAAAGTCCATTCTTTCTGTTTGTAACTAAGGTGAGCAAAAAAAAAAAAAAAAAAAAAAGGCTTTTGGATAATATTTGGATATAGCAAATTAGCCTCTCAGAGCTCATTACTCTTTCTTCAGAACAAGAATCTGGTTTTAGATGTGTAAGAGCTACAGATAACTGCCAGAAAAAGTGGATTATTAAAAGTAATGCATATTTTTGAAGACATATTTGTTCTGTTTCACTCAGTATAATTAAATATCATCACTACTTGTGACTGAATTATAGTTTACAATGTTGTCCTGCTCGATAACTCCAGCCAAGAGAGACTAGACTTCTAGGTTTCTGACTGAAATTTCACATATGGGAACTCAAATCATTTTACTGTGACCAGTCATAAGATGTGTTTGGTATAGACACAAAGGAAAAAAACCAACATTTTGGGTTTGTTTTGTTTTGTTTTCCCCCCCACCGATTTTGTTTTGTTTTTTTTTTTTTTTAATTATTATTGCTCTGAGCAACAACTGAAATGATTGCAGTACCAAAACTCTAAAATTTCAGAAAGGGGCAAAATAATGCATTGAAGTAGGTAACGCTAGATAACGCACCAAAATAATTCTTGAAGGTTGCTAGAGTCTCATACAGTAGTGATTAGAGAAAACAGGTGATTTCTTGGTAACTTCAGTATCATTTAAAACTCACTCAGGCCACACTAATGATTCTTATCTGTTCAGTCCCCTTCAGAAATAGACAATTTCCTGGAAAGAAGTATCTTTTAACAACAACCACATGTGCACATATGTGTGTGAAGTATTCATACAAAACACCATAAGGTTTTCTTTGATACGTACATCTTGTGCAAATATTCTTTCTCTAGCTCTCTGATACTCTTCTTCGCGTTCTTCTATGGATTTACTTCTTCTGTCATCTTTTAATCGTATTCTCATCTAAATTAAGTGATACAGTGTCAGCTTCTACAGGAAAATAGTATAAATACACAGTCAAATACAGCAAGTGGAAGGAAATAATCCATATGTATTTTACCTGGTTGTCATCTTTGTCTAAACTAGAGTTATCTCTTTTAAGGATGTACCGCTTCTGGAAATCATCACTCTTCTCATCCTTTATATGCTCACAAAACTTTTGGTCAGGTCTGTGAAAAGTCGTTAGAAAGAAAAGATTTATGGTTTTGTAAACATATACTATACACAGTGGAACAAACTGAAATATACTCAAGATTAATGTTAAATATACTTAATATTCTAACTGAAGTGATAGATTTTGGTTGTCCAGGCAATGGAAAAGGTACCGAAACCATAAGATGATGTGTACCCCTGACAAGTCCTGTTCCTGAGGCATAACAAACCTGCTTTTAAAAACCTCTTCCTCCTTCAAAGCTTTTGCTTCAATTTCCAATTAAGGTGGCAAGCAAACCACATGCCCTTGGGGAATCAGAAGTGCTCTTGAATCCAGACTGGTGCCATGCAATGGATATTGGGCATGCATGGAAGTGAAGATAGGTGCTTTCTGCTAGAGCTGTAATACCTCAGAATTCATTTCAAGGGAAAACAGAAGATAAGAAGATAGAGGAGAAAGCATTGAAACTTACAAATTTCTAAAACAAAAGTAAGTAGAAATAAGCAAGAGCAGAACAACAGTACAATGCAGGCAAGCAAGAGCTTCACAAGATCACAGTGAAAGGATGAAGCAACAGATTATATATATTGTTTTGGTATTTTATCTACTTTGTGAAAGAAAATGAGATCTTTTTCAAACTCTTGTTATTAAAAATAGATACCAAGCACCTCGACAATAAAACTACTACTATCATAAAAGAAGTTCTCAGACAATCAGGAAGTATTTGTCTAATAAAAGACAAAACATATGTATACTCTTCTCTATTTCTGTTTCTTTATTCATTACAGAGTACATCTGTATAGAGTCAGGAGATCTTTTTCTATAAAACAGCCAAGCCTAACTATTAGTTACTGGATGCCCAAACATAATTAGCAGGCATTTCAGAGAACCTTTAGACTGTCTTACCTCTTTCTTTTAAAGGTCCCTGAATTTACTGCCCTGCAATCACCAACTTCCCACTCCACTGAGACGTCCCAGTATGCACTGGGTTGTTGATGTCAGTAACATCACTGATCAGCGATGGAGCCGGGAATCTGCCTATGAGGAAAAGGTAAGTTTGGTTTTATTCAACATGGAGCAGATCTCCAAGGTTTTCTTTCTAAATTCTTATTTTATATCCAAAGTGATTTAAAATAAGAATATTGAAAACATTAAGAATCTTAATGTCTGCAGGTTAGATGAAATGCCTGCTAATTAGTAACTACACCTATAGGGGGCTTCCAGAGGCCATAAGCTATTTAAATACGGTCTAGGGAAAAAAAAACAAAAAAGCATAAAAACGAAGAAATCATCTTTTAGTAGTACTTATTCCACACTTGAAGTGCTAGACTGAAGCTTCAGTCTAGAGATGCTGGTAGACATAAAGGCAACAGATTTGAAACGTATGACTTTATAAGTCAATTTAGATAGAGAATGTGTAGCCAAAGCAAAAAAACATACATGAATATGTAAGTAATTTAACATATATTTAGGCTCCGTATATTTTTCTAGAAACTTTTGAGGAGGAAACAGTTTACTTAAGTGAAATTTCAGTGTGGCATATTATTTCAGTTCTACTGACTCTAAAATTAGGGTGAGTAATAAGATTTTTTTTTCTCCCAGAGCTATGGAGAGTGTACATAGAGACTGGGATTAGGATGCAGGCGCCGTAAACTCCTATTTTCTTGTTCAAATCATACAGTGCTAAAAAAAAAAATCACAAACAAAAAAACAACCAACAAAAAATGGTGTCAGGCAAATGCTTTAAGTTAAAACTAGAAACTAGGCAGCATAAATACACCAACACATTAGTCCTTTGTCTTTGAGGCAGAATGAGGAGACAGAGAAGTGCAGAGGACAGAGAGAACAGCTGGGTCCTTTGAATGAAAACATCAACTATGCATGGGTTTTGGAGTTGCTGCGGCCCCAGTGCTACTTTCTTTTGTAATTTCGATTTGCCTACTGGTTTCTGCTCACCAGCCCTCACAGTAAAGTAGCATGCCACGAATTGTTAACCTGGTTGACACTTCCACTGATACGATGTCTGTCTTTCCTGCTACGTTTATTTTGTAAGGCCATGTGAGATCTGTAAGCAACATTATTCCAACAAAAGACTTCAATGCCTGAATTTTCCCAGTAGATTTTTACAGTACAAAAGCCAAATTTGTGCAAGTCTTGTTCCCTCCTTTCAGATCAGAAATGACCCTGTTCTAAGTTAAGGCCTCATTCTGCTTTCCAAAAGAAACAAAGAATGTACTTTGTACACTTTACTGGTGTAAACCTTTAAACAGATAAATAGTTAATATAAATCCATATTTCAGGGAAACAAAGTTAGAAATGCATTTCTGTGAGTAAGGTAACAAAAATTCTTAATTTACAGCTAACATTCTTTTTTTCCCCAAAAACGTTTAAGCATGAAACAGATCACGTTATTACCCAGCACTGAAACACAAACAGTAAAGATCTTGCCACTACCTCTCCTTGATGCAAGCTTCCCAATGAATAGATAGATCCCTGATGCTACAGATGCATCATATATCCCAGGTGTTAAATCTATGCATCAAAAAAAGTTTTTTCAAGACTTTTTACACTTACATTCTTGTATTGCTAGTTTTATTTACTATGACTGACTTCCCACTCTGGTCCACATTGTGCTCTAATCCAAAGTAAGCAGCTACCCTGTGCAACAGCATTCTATGGTAAGATGTCATTGGGGGAAACTTTTTCCTTGGAATTCTGGAAGAAAGGAATAGTAGCTTTATTTAATAAACAGGAACACTCTTGAATTCTTTTTTTCCTATAAGAGTACAGTACTTACTCATTATTACCAATGAAATCTAAAATTTCCTGTTCTAATTTCAGCAGCATCATTCTGTCCCTGAAAATAAAAACACAGCAACTCACATATGAGACACTCCAATAACTGCAGTTGTATTCATCTTAAGAATACATAGATAAGATCTGTGATCAAGGGAATATGGCAGACTAAATTTGACCACCAGGTATCAAATGCAGTATTTTTAGGACAAAGTATTCATTTTTCACTAAGCTATATCGTCTTGAATCCACCTAGTGAAACCTGCTGTTCTCATCTCAGAAATCAGAATACAAAAATCCTCCAAATAATCTTTTCCCAGCAGCCTCAAAAAAGTACAGTCATTGAGAAGACAGTCTCAAGAAGGAAAAGCAGTGACTAGGCTGTTTCTTGATGGTTAGCATGGGTAGTAACATTTGCTGAGGCCTGAATTGGCCCTTGGATTGTGAAGCACATCATGGGATCATTGAGACACAGTGACGGGAGGCACTGCTACAACATACCAACAACCAAGTGGTTAAAAGCTGGCACACACTGCAATGTGATGAGCTATTAAGAGAATATGAAAAAGCTAAAACTCAAGGTGATAGAAATTAATATTAGTCTTAAAAATGCTTATGCCAGTTCCAATAAATCATTAACATGTAATGAAATTAACTGCCACACAGTTCATAATTTGTGCACATCAGATAACTAAGCTTCCCAGTTACTGCACATGTAAACCCACAGCAGACCTTCACCTACAATTTCTGGTTGTCACTGGGATGCTTTATGACCTCAAATAGGAACAACGTAAGAGTATAGCAGAGATCTGTACTTTCTAATTTTACTCTATAGGACAAAATGGTGTTGGCCTGTTACTATAACTCATTTTATACTTTTTGCAAATAAAATAGATTCCCAATAAATTATCACATTGGAAATCATAACTATAATATGAATGAATAACAAAGAGCAGTGGAATAGCTTTTGCGACAGCAGCACAATTCCACCGAGTTAATTTCTTGCCTTGTATATATAGCCACAGACCTAGTATGAGGAAAAGAACACAAGAGAGACAGCAACATACTGCAAACCTCAAAGCAACAGAACCATGTCAACTCTGTTGCTAACAAATGATGGACTTGAATTAGGTCAGATTTGGTTTCTGATGTGCAGAGTGAGAATGTATATATCTAACTATGGCTATATGGTACAGCTTAAAAAAATTCCTTTGTCTATAAATTCAGTGCAAGACAGATTAAAGTAAGAGAAGGCAGTTTGGTCTCTAACAAGCAGATGCTAAGAGAGTACAAGTTTTTGAGACACAGTATTAAGAGTCCCTTCAGGGAGAGAACTGCACACAGACAGAACTCATTTGCTTATTAAACATTAAAAGCATTTAAACCATTTCAGTGTCCTGAACCTCTGTTCATATAACACACAAATTACAGAGGACTGGTGTTTCAGATAGCTTGCACAACAAAATCTCATCCTACATAAGTGACATATAGTGTTAGACATTTAAGAGGGGGAAAAAACCAACAAGAAAAAACCCCAGGTGGTGTGACATCTCAGGCAACAAGAAGAAAGAAAAACAGGAAGTTGATATTACTGATGCTTACCTGGGATTGTTTTTTAATGTATTTACTAAAAATTCATGAAGATCTATACCAGTGGAATCTGTATACTCTTGGCTGGAATCTAAGGGTAGAGGGGGAAGAGAACAAAATTACGCTTTGAAAAAAACACTAATACAACACACTAATACTAATTTTTTCCAATTATTGCTGAATGTACTATTTATGGATCAAGACTATATAACTATTAGGCATTTTATTCCCAAAATTAAACACTTCCAGTTTCCACAGAAAAGGCTCACAAGTAAAAAACAAAACAGAAAACCCAACATCGCCCCCCAATTCCCTAAATTTAAGTGTAATACAGAAGCAACTGCCAATCTATTAACAAATTGCTATATATTTTGAAGCAGTGTATCACCTTGAGTCACCTGATTTCCATCAACCTTCCAAGTTTTCTCAATGTACTACATTGCACTGTTGTATACACTTCTGTGCATCAGATCTACAGAATTACTAGATGTTGCCTGAAGAAATATTGTAACTTAGAATGCAACAGTTTAACCTTCATGAACATGATATTGTATTATTAAAAATCCTTGTTGGGCTTTGTTTTCACAGCATAATGTTTAGAAGTTTTCAAAAATAAGTCTGGCAACCTTCTGCCTCCTTTCTGGTTTCTGTGAAATAAAGTATTCAAAGTTACATTTTGTTCTCTAAAATCTGTCACTGAAAGAAATGACGTAACACCAAAGCTTCCCTTACATGAGCACCTTCCAGAGTTCCAGGTCTGAGAATTCAAAGCTGTAAGTGTTTTCATAATATTTTTGGAACTAGATTTCTTCCAAGAACTACTTATGTGTTAACCTACTCTCAAGTTAGGCACAGTTCAAACTTACGCCTAGATCCTAGCTGTTACAGGTCTTTTTGTGGCCAGTACAGAGAGCAGTCATTGCAAATTAGCTTCCTTTAGCAATGAGGGGACTACCGCACAAAGAAGGGTAGATTCACTGAAGACAGAATCTGTGCAGGCTTTTTCATTAGAAGCAACAGTGCTGGCAGAGCAGCCATCTTCAGAAATGTGACCTAAGTTTTTCCTGGAGAAAATTCAAGTCCTCCTGAGGACAAAGAATCTCTAGTTCCCTAAAGAAGAATGATAGCGGGTTCCTTTATCAGCAGAGCTTGTTATGTTATCAATCCTGCCCATATATTATCAAGAGAGTATAAATGAAACCAAGTAAGTTTGAGCATTTATGGTTTGGGATTATTTTTGATTCTGAAGAGGGGAAAAAGAGGGGCGGGGAAAAAAAAAAGGTATGCCTGGTAAAACAACTTTAAGATTGAATAATTATTTACTTTAATTTTCTTAATTTGCAAGTGAGCAATAATTGAGTTATAATCACTAGAAGACTGATGCTTAAATTCCATCATTTTCTATTTTGGCATGTCCTAAATTGGGAAGTAATTAACCTCCAGAGGAGATATTGGGTGAATTTAGAACTGCTACCTCTACCTTAGACATTTTGCCACTTTGCTCTCAACTCCTCATCGTTACCTAAGATGTTGGGTATTTTTTTGGGTGGGAGGTGGGGTTTGGGTTTGTTTGGGTTTTTTTCTCCTTAATTTTAGAAGGTGGGCATGTACTTTAAAGGTTGAGCAAGTCAGCTCTGAAAGAACACCCTATTTTTTTAAGGCATCATTTCAAAGACTGAGATTTGTAAACACAGTTAAGTTCTCCATCCCAGTGTTTTTTATGTCACAAATACCTGGCTGCCAGCTGGGACAAGATGCACTGAAACGCCACATTGAGGAAGGCCTTATGGAATTGAGGGACACAAGATGGACAAGTGCTACCTTTCTCAAAAAGAATTCTAGCTTTAAAGATATCTCCTACACACTGGTTGATCTAGGATGTTTAGATAAGCATTCTGGATCCTTTATTTAAAGCAAGAGCTATACAATGATTTGCCAACTTAAACATATGAAGCCTTCTACCTTTAGGAAGCAGTAGGTAACATGGACAGAGACAGGCTGAAGTCATTAACTTTACAGTTCTATTTCAGGTTAAAAACCAAAGACTTTCAGCAGATAGAATAGATCTTCAATCCAGAATACATGAATATTAAAAGTGAAAGCATAATACTTGTCATTTCTACTTATGTAGTTCCAGCCCTTGCTCCAAAATTTATATAAAAATTCTAGATACTGTCAAAAGTAAAATAAATAAACAAGAATATTGACTTCTGTTGAATAAAGATACGAAAAAGTATAAAGGTAGTTGTCATTCTCACTTTTTTCAAAGTTTCACAAATCCTGTAACAACAAAGTCTAGGAATAAGATAGTGACTTCTACTGACTAGTAAAGTCAGTTTTCCAAAGAACACTTGGACACAGCTGAGACAATGCAACTGCTTTTATGCTGGTCTGCGTAGCTAGACAGGCGAGAAAGGAAAAGCATTTGCTGGAGTACATGTGTTTGATGAAGCCTCGAAAGCATATCCTCTGGGACCAATTCCTTCTCCAGCTCAGAGATATCTGATCTACTTGCTTCATTTGCTAAAAAAGCCCCAATGTTTATGCAATGATGACCTGGAAGCAAACTGTTATTTTCTCTAAATATTCTTTATCTACACAGTACATTTAAAAAGCACAATGACAGATAGCAAACCTCTTGATAACATTTTTCTGGACAGTTTATCACTGGATTTTTCCTTTTCTGTTTCATCTTTTGCAGGCTTTTCTTCTTTTTCAAAAGACTGTGACAACTGGATCTGAATTTTCTCCTGTCAAAAGTAAAAAATCAGTCATCACAGAAATTATTTCAAACAATACCTGCAGGAGAACTGTTTTGTACTATACCACCTGCAAAATAAAGAAGTAACAAGGAAAATAATTGCCTTCATGTTCTTTCTGATCCCACATGTACTTTATGCAACCACAAAATGAAATTATTTATCAGTAAACCAAAAACTATAGAAAAGGCATAGAAACTACCATACACATTTTCAATTTACACACACTTCCAGGCCCTGAATGCTATTTCAAAATGAATCCGAACTACCTTATTTGATACACATATGAAAATATTCGTTTTTCAGATGTATAAATTTTATACAGCTTCTAAATTTTTAAGTAATGCATCATCCACAATGCTTTTCCCCCCTCATTCTTCATAGTTCTTGACTATAAAAGCTTGTTTCAAGTTTCAATTTGGTTTATACAAAGAAGAAAAAAAATTAAAAACAAATGTTTCCATCTCAGACAGACCAGCATTCCCAGATCCACAAAAAAAGGAAATATTTAGAGTACAATATATCAAGGCAAAATTTGCAAACCTCACTGTCATCAAGGCTTAGATTCCTAACTTCCTGTATATTTTGACAGAGTAGCTTTGTGTGTAATCATCTCAAGATCCATGTTCTTATACAAGTAGATGAACTATCATAAAACCTGTTTCCCAAATACAGCAGAAAAGATCTTCCCTTTGAAATTATAGTGACATAATGGTCCCCTAAATAGTGGAAAATTGTGATTTGTTTTTCATGCCTCTTTACTAAGACTGTCAGTGAAGGACTAACATATTTCGGACAGCAAAAATCAGAGGAGGTAGGGGGAAATGGAGACACCATGTGTCTGAATGACTCCAAGAGCACGAGTGGCAAAGTCCTGTTAAGAGCGAGACTCCCCCATTACCTTTTATCTTGACGTCCCTCAAATGTCAATTTTGCTCCCCCAGATGCCAACTGAGTTGATGCTGTCACCACCACCACCCTCCTGCCCCCGAGAACATCTGATCCTTCCCAACCTGAAGAACCTGCCTCTCATCCATTCTTGCCTATCACTCTGCTATCCTGCACCTAATCCCTTCCCATGCAAGTCTTCACTCTTCCTGCAAACCCATTCTTACCCATATCCAGGCACCTGCTCTAAGCTTCAGCTCGTGTGTCATTACACAGCCTTGATCTCACTCATGTAAGCTGGCCAGAGTTAAATATAGTCAGGATTCACCAAGGCTAAAGACTGTTTCACACGCAAACACATCCTTGCACAACCTGCAGTAATGCTCCTCCCTGCCCTAGCGCACCAAACTGCTCCCTACCTTTGTCCCTGCAGAGCTGGGCAACAGGAACTCTACACTAATGAGGTTATGGTTAAAAACTAGTTTCAATGTGCATTTGTGGAATAACAACTTTTTCAAATGAGAAAAGAAGTTTAGCTGGTAGTTTTATCAGCTCTCCCTTTCATTATGATTTTTTCCCTCACATTAAGTGTTCTAATTAAACTTAATTCATGAACACCCTGCAAAACAGCATTACAAATGTGAAGACTTCTCAGGGTTTATGAGATTATCTATAACCAAGTCTGATAAAAACCATTTCCAATCACTAATAATGAACTTTTGCATAACTGTTTCCTAGTCTTGAGAATTCACTTGGCTACAAACCTTAAGGAGTCCAAAACAAATCTTTGCATTCCTCACATCACTAACCTGAATAGAATTCAAATGAGCAATTTATTTGTCACTGCAAAGTGCATTACATCTACTGTTCACCTAGCAGCTGCGTGAAAGTTATTTGAAAAAGAAACATGTTTATGTTTTATTAAATTATTTCTGACTTGGATCCACCAATACCTTATTCTCTATTTTACAATAATACTCTACAAAACTACCAGTAAACTAAGGAAATTTTCATAGTCTGATTTTCCTTCACTAAAAAATTGAGTGACTACATATTCTAAACCCATCCAGAGTAAAAGCATACAGCAATAGTTTAGTCAAAGGATTTTAGCAAGTAATCATTTTCATACTTCTTTTCCCAATGAGAGCTAAAAAAAGGAATAGCCATCTGAACAGCCAGTTCTACTACCACCAATTCTACTTCAAAGTGTGATACAACAGAACTGTGCAGCAAAGGGCGCTTCCTTGTGATTTCATGCTATAAAAACTGTAGCATCTAATTAAATGTGACCTACTTGACTGGAAAGCTGCTGAAAAACCTTTTAACTTCTATTCCCCTAAAATTCTTTTAATCCCACCCTGTTTGTAGCAGGTCTCTGCTGGCGTACTGATTTAACTGACTCCTTGCTGTAACTCAGATCCTATCTGAAGTCCTCATTGTAGCAGAAGAAATTGTCACCAAATCCTGATTAATCAAGAAAAAGCCAAACAAAAAGCAAAAGCCCTAAAACCATCAAAACCTGATAAATTCCTCCAGCTTAAAACACTTGAGAAAAAGGCAAGAGTCAGGAAACATTACAGAATATTACTTAAAGACACTACGTCCTGGGGTCTTGGCTTTTTACCAGGAATCTCTAAAACCAACAACCTGAATTTACACAAGTCAGTATAAACTAACATTATAGACCCTGGTCTTCTCCGCCGACTCCCCCTCCTTTGGGTTGTTTTATTTTGCTAAAGAAGAAAAAGTTCAATTGTTTGAAGGTTTATTTACTTGTTACCCATAATAACAACTGTCATTCATATGAAAGCAGCCCTTCCTTAAAAAGAGCTGAAATGGATCATCCTTTGCTGGTGTTTGTACTTTGTATTAGAGCATACAGAATCAGAAGAACCCAAGCACCTAATATTTAGACAAAGGACGGCAAGAGAATAAAGAGTTAGTGTATTTACAAAGACAAAAGATCAAATAAATCAGTTATGTTCTTCCTCCTGCAAAAAACTGATAAGCTTGTACTTTCATAGCACCTTTTAGTAAAGGGTTGCCAGTGCTTTTTAACAATTAAGGCTTAAAAATTTGTGAGCATTTACCTAGGTTTCTCAGTACGAAACAGTATCTTTCTTCATGTTGCAATTGCTCAAGAAAATATAAACAAGTGTATCAGAAAATAAATTGATCTGCTTGAGACAATTTCTCTAGTCTGTCAACCTCTTTCATTATAGTCTTCTGAGGAGAAGCAGCCACCAGTGGCAGCAGTGCCTTGCTAAGTGACTTCCACACCTGCACACACCTAGGAGTTTTACCTTGCTAAGAGCTGCTGTACACACTAGTGTGGAAGGGGTGACTAACAAACAGTCACAGGCAAGCCTCCAGAGTTATCCCAAAACTCACACCAGTTCCTAGTTGAGTAAGTATATTTTTCGTCCTATCAAGGCTAACACTTTCTAACCATTAAAAATGTGGATTCTTCAAGTGTTACCAGCAACTTTATCCTGAATTTTATTCTTCTTAACTCTTAAAATCCGTTTTACTTAGGAACACAAAACTGGAAGCCATTTTTCAGTTGCAATCACTGATACAACACCGCAGTGACTTTTCCAGCAAGGGGAAGTAATCACAGAGGTTATTCTCGTACTGCTAGTGAGGGCTGGGCAAGACAGTCACTTCACCTAGCGACCGGACCTCCCACATGTCTGAAGCACAATTAAAGCATACACATCATGCTTGGAAGTGTGGGGCTTGAGGCAGCCAGCAGCTGTTTGGTGCTCACAGAAGAAGTCTTCCATGCCATTCCCAAAGATTCTTTGGGAAAGAAAGCAAAATGGGTGAAGGAATTGCCTGTATGAATTGTTACAAGGGGTCATGGAAGACCTGTGCCCCATAGGATGTGCACTCCAGTGTCAGAACTTGCAACAAATTCTTACTTCTAACTCTTCTCTTCAACATGTATTTCTCCAGTCTACAGGGAAGAATTAAATTTGTTCTCTCAATCATTTGGATAGTTATTGGGATTCATAAGCCATTTTTTCTAGATTACCATTTCTAAAGAAAACTCGGAGCTAGATCTAATTTTGTTTCTTAATATACAAACTGGTTTACGATATTCCTTTTGTAGAAACTTAGATTATGACACAATTCAATTCATTCTATAGAACTGGCCTCTACATCTCTTCTACTACTGCAATAATTCCTTTCAAGAACCTTGCAGTATGCAGCTAAGGATCGATTCCAGAGGACATGGTAACAAATGCCATCTGCAGAGAATGCTTATTATAGATGTCTGACTTTAAACCATTAAATACATGGTGTTGTATAGTGCTGGAGATTTTAAAAAATCCTAATGTCTCTTACGTTTGAAATATACTGTGGATGAACAGCCCATCAAATTAGGATTCTCTCTTCCTATAATTACAGTGACTGAAAAAGTTAAACCCTACTTCTTCAGACTAAACATCTAAGCCTGAACTCAGTCAATTTTGTTAGTCTTACACAAAACATTATGACAGGGTTGTAAATCATTGTAAATAGCATTAGCTTTTCTGTTGTCTTTTAACCTCTTACTCTGCAGTCTATACCAATCTAAGACTTAATTTTTCATCAAATTAACAGGCCCAGTTTCAAATTTTCTCTAGTCAACTCTTCAAATACTGGCATATTAGTGAAAGACTATGAAAAACACTATTTTCTCAGTTTTCCCAAGAAAAAAAACCCTAGATACTTCGTGGTTCAATCTTACAAAATTTTAATTAGCTTGACAAATGCCTACATTGGTTCTCAACCTCCCTCCCTCCACAAAACTGAATTACCACTCCCCCAGCAAAACCCCCTCACGCTCTGCTATTCTACTGGTTCCTTCTGCTTCTTAAAAGTGAGACTTTTCACAAAAAGACAGTTTAGAAGCTTTTCAAATAACAGCAAGATAAGTCAACATGCTTTATGAGTAAGCCACTAAGAACCATTTCAGTTTCGTTAGGAGTGGAAAAAAAGAAAAGCATTTTGAAGCCCCACATTCATACATACACAGAATTAAAACCAGTAATAGTATTTTGCTCTAAAAATACAGACTGGTATGAAGGTAAAGTCAGGAAAGCTAGATTTTGTTTTAAATTCTCTAAGGTATTTTTACATATTTTGTCCAGCACTTAGGAACTTTCTTAAGTGTGTTATATCATCGTCATAGATCAGTCTTCAGAAATACTTCAGGCATGTGTTAATAGAACTACCAGCAATTATGATTAATATGCAGGAATCCAGTTAAAGCACCAGAACTTACAACTGTTTAAATTTTCTATATATAAAAAGCCAATAAATTATGCTGCATATTAATCATCATTTTGCTGTCTTAATGATGGCAGACAGCACTTCAGCAGTTTAAGACTGCCTCAAGTGCACTGTAACACTAGAAATTTGAAACAACAAAACCCCTCTTCCCCATATAGGAACCATTATAGTTCAGAAAAAGAAAGCAGCAAATTCTTCATCTGATACTATCTCCTCTATAAAGCTATATTAAAAAAAAATTAAAATTATATGATGTCTGCATATTTAAAGAGTACCGAAAAGATTTTCTTCTGAACAGTTAAGTTACTTCAAATCGTTTCAGAAACTTCAGTAATGTGATTTTTACCTGGAGGTCCTGTGATATTTCAGCTGTGGGAGGTGGTGGATATTCTTCACATACAGCAAGGCTCCGAACTAACTTTAACTTTGTGTTTGACTAAAGGAAAGTATGTAAAATTAAAAACTATGGCTTATAAAAATGATATAAATATACCATAAGCCGTTATTTTTCCATTCATTTTATGTAAAACAAAATGGCCGAAAACTGCATTTTTAATATTTTTAATAGAATAAATAATTTCCTCTAGGATGAAAATACCCAAGCAACTGCAGCTTTTGAAGGCACTATCAGCACAATAGAGCACATCTAATGAAAAGTAAATAAAATCTTTGGGAAAGTGTTTCTCTCCATAACAATAAAAAGCCACCAAAAATATAAAGGCAAACCACAAAAGCAGACAACTAGGCAAGACAAAAATCCAACAGAATAAAACAAAGCTTCAATGCCAAAAAATAAAACTAAAGGCACTTTTCACAAAGTAACAAAGCTTCATCAAGCATGAAGGGCTTCCTTAGCATGCCAGCACACAAGTCTACTGTACCTTCGACCTTTTTGCTGTCTGTCCAAAAGACTGCACTGGCCGCTGAATGATAGGCACAACAGAAAAGGTTTATATTAAACTTAATAGTACAATTTTATTAATGCAAAAGTCTGTATAAGAGCAAGCTTTAACAGTTATTACTGACATGATGGTCAAATCTATGAAAGGAACAGCATGTGCTTTTGACTGAAGGATTATATCCTCTCCCAATTTCATCGTGCTTGTCCTTGATTTCTCTTCTTCATTTATCAACAATAGATATTACAGGAATATAACAGGAAGCAAGCATTATTCTTGCTCAGTAAGATCCAAGCAGTTTACTCTCTCAGTCACTCCTACAGTTTAAATTCTCATGTCCTAATTTCCTTGGCAACATGACATGGCTTTTATAAACTTTCTTCCTATTCCTGAAACCTACCTGAAAAAATAATATGGGGGGAAAAAAAAAAAGACAAAAAAAAAAGCAGCATTGCCTCTACCAGGGAACAGATGATGACCTATCATAAGCAGGTTAAAACATGGGGTTTTTTCTTTCATCTTGGGACTTATGAAAGCAGACTTTAAAATGGGCCACTGGTCAATTTTTCTTTAATTTAGTAACTTACCATGCATTAATATGCTTTCCCTCCTCCCAGAGCCATTTTAGTTATATACTATGCATTCATTTGCTCTTTCTACTCCCAGATCCCTTCTTCTATTACTATTGTTTCTTTTAAGAAGAAGCATTACCAGAATTTTACTACAGTACGCATGATTGAAAGGTACATTTGAATCAACAAAAGTGTTTAACAATTCCTTAACTGCATAGTTAAAACTAACTCAACCCTCTGTGACAGTTACACAGGAATAGAAGCACTTACAGTGGCATAACATAATTTAAGTATTGGTTTCACTGTAGAACTAAAACTGATGAATAGACAAGCCTTTAACAGAACTGGTTTTACTGAGCACAGGCCTAATATTTGTAAGGAAAAAGTAACACTGGTAATATAATTTCAAATGTTGTTTAATGGACAATATTTCCTCCTTTATGAAAGGGGTATCCTTTCAGAAGGAAACTAAACAAAAACTCTGTTTAAAAACCACATAAAGACAGCCCTCCCTGCCCTAGGATCATAGGAGCAGATGTCTATCAAGTGCCTTAATTTCTAGCAGAACATATATGTTGCTAAAAAGAACACCTAACCTACAGTAAAAGGTTCTACCACATAAAGGCAGAAGAACCGCTATTTCTCCAGTTTTCTCAAGTCCCAAATGTTTTTTTTGGATGTTGCACCAGCTTAGCTGAAAAGCAGCAGAAGGGGTGCTCATTTAAGCTCATTTCACTATATAACAGGATTTTAAATAGCAGCACTGAAAGCTAACTGAACTCATCATCAGTTTTGTAAAGGAAGCTTGCTGAGATTTTGAGCAGCAAAGACAGTTCAAATGTTCTCATACTTGGAACAATACAAAGACTTTAAGTTTTGCTGTTACCTGCAAAATATTTTTTTTCTTTCAATCAGCTATGTTGAAAGCATACATTGGATATTGAAAGCTGGCACTCTGCATATCCCTGGCAAAGCTTCTATTATAGCAAGCTACAAAACTTTCAAGAACTGGATGATTTCCCAGCCTCATATCAATTACTCCAGCATCAATTATCTTAGGCGGGTTCAAATCAAGTAGTGCGAACTTAAAATCAAATCAGCACTGCCAGTGGAGTCCTCAGTTCACTGTCAAAACAACAGGCAAAAGAATCTATGCTTGAGCAATTGTTTACCCTTCCCAAAATTTTGGAAGCTTTGAAGCCAGTATATAACTGAAAAGAGTATATGGAAGCAAATACCTCAGATCCACCACTGGGGGGGGGGGGGGGTGAAGGCAGGGCAGGGTGGGGAGGGGACGGGAATCAACTTAGTTATACAGGACTTAAGACGTTGTAAACTAGCCAAACAGAATTTCTAATACTGTTAACAAAAACTTTACACTTAAGTTACTGCTCACTAGTTAGTTAAGACATACATATTTCAATTATTTTTAAAAATGATTTAAAAAAAAAAACCACCAACAAACAAAAAAACACAACAGAGAAGAGACTGTTGCTGGGAAGCTGGAACCGTATCATAATTAAATTTAATTAAAAACTGTACAAACCACGTATCTCCTCCTCACCTTACCTCAGTAAAGTCTCAGGAATCCATTGCAGCCAAAACTCAAGCATGCTTGTCCATGCCAGATAAAGCAAAGCAAATGCCTCAAAATTTAATTGAGATATTGAAATGATCTAGTATCAAATCTGAATTCTTCATAAGAATGTTTAAAATGAATGTGATTTTCGGATTTCAATCACAGTAGGACAAGTTTGATGGTACATTCCTTTAAGTGTTTTACATGTGTTGTATCTCATCTTCCATTTTGCTTGCAGAATCACAGTTCTGTTTCCAGGTTGGAAAGGCAACCCAACTGACACTGTCAATTATGCTGCATTTAAAGATTTTTTTTTAAAGATAGGTGTTTGCAACCTATGGGGAATAAGTTCATCAAAACAATATAGGACATTCAGGGTAGTAAACTAAGGTATTTGAATACCATGGTGCTCAATTTCATGAGCACCTGACAATTTTTAGGGACCAAACCCACACCAATAACACTAGGGAGAGATGGGGGGCCACTGTAGGAGGAAGATTCTCCCTTTACTGAAATGACTCAAACCTCAAAATTACACATGAGATAAGTATCATCCCACCCATCATATTAAGACCTGTTATCTAGAAACAACTGCCTTGTAAAACAATCCTTTGATAGGCATGGATTCCTTGCTTTCCTGCATGACTTTAAGGATGTCAAAACTTGAAATACAAGCCCCCACATCCAGCTGTAACTGTAAAGAATAAGCACCACACACCTGACAGGTAAGAAGCACTAGAATAAATCTGGTATGGCTGGACTGCAGGGACAGCTAATGTGAGAAAAGGCCTATGATGTAAGGTCTGCACCTGGAAATACAAAACCTAAAGTCCTGTTACATCAACAGTAACTGCACTCATCAACAGTAACAAAACTTAGAATCTGTGCCCAATCATCTTCTTCTCAAGCAAAACCACGCCAGCTGAAGATAACTACATTTCCACTGCAATTCCAGGACAATAGGTAGTCAATGCATGTTGCAGCTGTTAATGCACATTTTCTCTCTTTTCAGGTCTGTGAATTTTAGTTCTCTCCTAATTTCTCTGCATTTACTAAGTTTTGCTCCTAGAGAGCAACTTTATGTTCCCCATTTGTGAAAAACAATTTATAGCTACTTTAGAATATGTAATCATTAGTGAGTGCAAATTAAGCAATTTCTTTATATTTGCAGTTCTCAAAGACTTTTACTGACTTGAGAAAACACTGTGTTAATGACAGCAAGATTAAAAATAAATTTATGCCCCATTTAAAGTCATTATGGGCATGATTTCAAGACAGTCTTTAAAAGCAAGTATTCCAAACAATTGCATAATGAAAAGAATGATTAGGGTTTTGTCTCAAAAAAAAAAACCCCAAACCAACTAACAACTTGTAAGACCAACTACTATGCTTCATTTCCAACTACAAAATAAAAAGGTAATTAAGATAAGAGTTTGCCAAACACATATAATCATATACATCCAGGCTTTCAGTAGGAGTAGTCGCCTATTTAATTTTTTCCTAATTACCTCCATACATCACGTATATTAAATACAAAGTAAAGATCTGGAGTTGTTACACACCTTCCTCTATCATCACTATGCTGTCTAAACAAGTTGGATAAAAACAGGTCAGGCACAAGATGGCAAACTTAGAAGTGTGATAGGTTTTTGGAGAAGGTACTACATCTATTTCTGAAGTACCCTTTGGACATTTCAGAAGACAGGCATGACATGAGAGACCTGAACAAAGTGTTCTAAGGACATTCAGTTTCTCACTTTTCTTCTAAATTAGGTCTCAATTTTAAATCCAGTTAAGGGCTACAGTCCTAACAACCACAGGTAGCTTTGAAGACTGAAGGAAAGAACAGCATGGTCTATGGTTACTTGCTGTCCTGTATTAGTGAGTAGTGACAGCAATTTTCCAGGAAACAATAGAGGAAGACTGATGGAAAAATAGTTTCCTCATTGGACACAGAAGTATTTTAAACAGTTCAAAAGTAACCAAACAGAATCTGCCCAATCATCTATCTACTAAAAAGTATTAAGTCACATATTTTGGAAACAAAGACAGGTAAATCCTGACAAGACCAAAACAGCTGGGGAGGCAGCAAAGAAAGGCTTCAGAGAACTCAAGCTGTGGAACACAGAGAAAACAAAGCTTTGTGCTAGTACGGAGGGAAGAAACTTGTAGGAAGAGAGACGTCTAGTTGCTAAGTAAAAAAATTAAGCCAATTCCTCCAAAGGACAGCGATATCTGCTTAATTAGCATAAATCCAAAACAGATATACTCACTTAATACATTTGCATTGCCCATATCATATGGTGGATGCATACAACTCCTGCATTCACGCACCAGTCTCCATCCTTCCGTGAGGCCTTTTTTGTTGGTCATATTTTGGTTTTATTCTCCACAGTTTGCAAGTGCTTTTCCTGATACACAGTGATATGCAGCTTGCTTTCTCTCAGTCGTTTACTGCCTTGGCCATCATCATCCCATCAAGGATCTTAAATCTACTTATTAATGGTTATTTTTCAGTGCAGAGATGACAGCATTTAAGACTAACATTCTTCTTCCCCCCAAACCCCATACTGCATGGATTGTAGAATAAGAACAAACCTCCTTTTCCGGATTATACATAAGCCAACATGAATTGTTATGGAGATATTAAATATTTTTGGGTTTGGAAAAAAAAAAAAAATCTTCCTAATAATGAATAGAAGGCACTATCCTGTAAGATAAATCCAGGCTGTTTGTTTAATTTTCTGTCAGTATTTCCTGACATGTTAACTTTGTAACAGCAATCCTTAGAGCAGATGAAGTATTGCCTGTCTCACCACCCAGTGACAAAGGCAACAAACTTCAGACCCCATATTCTACCTAATTCAGAATTAGTATATTGTCACCTGACCTGGATAAGATTAACAGGTGGGAGACAACAGTGACTGGTGAACCAACACCTTTTTGATTACAAAAACTACCAAAGTGCTGACATGCACATGACTTGGGTAAAAGTACTTTTCAGATGAGTGCCTCTTGTTTCCAGTTCCATTTAAGAGTTACTTCATGGTCACCTCAAAATACGGCAATTCAAAAACCTTCCCTAATAATCTGTGTATCAATTATACTACTCTCACACTGCTTAAAGAAATTGGGAGCGCTAGCCACGTACTCTAATAAGATATTTTTCTCATTCATATTGTACCTCCAACGGTGTATGCAACAGCAAATAGGTTACTAATGCACAATATCTCAAAGTAATCTGGAATTCAGAGCCACAGTTACATTTCAAAATATAATCACCAGTTTCTGGAACCATGAAGATCCAGAAACATACCTGAATTCAAACCATGATAGGTTTAGACAGAGGAAAGGTCATAGCCTGTTTCTTACTCAGCTGTAAAGAAGTTAGAAATCAAATGATAACTGTACTCAGGAATATTATTGTAGTTTACAAATAGATATGAAACCTATTAAGCATTTAGCTACTAGCTAGGAAAGCCAGAACCAAGCCCCATACAACTCCCACCCCCCAACCCATCCTCTGTTATACTCAATTAGTAAACAAAAGAACACAACAAATTCCAATCCTCTGATAATCTTCTCTAACATTTCTCAGCAAATCCTTTGCTCTTTTTCCCACCACTACAGTAACATTTAACCTGCACTTAATGAAAAGCAGTACATCCAGTGAAATTTCACCAAACTACTTAATCATCCATTAGTTAAAAACTTGCTGACCACTCTACTGTTTCCTGAAGTTTTGTTTACTATGGACAGGCCAAAATTTTAGTTTTGTATTTTAGCATAAAACACGCTTTCAGTGAAAAATATATGACATAGATATTTGCACTAGCAGCTACCACAGTACACGTGACATTAACTTTTACTGATTTCAATTGTTGCAAAGGGCTTACATTAGCAAGGTTCCACTTTGTAATTGACTGTCTTCCTACCACTCTGCAAATCAACATCCTCAGCCTACAAACACGTTTTTTAATTACACTACTCATGTAACAGCAACGTTCTGATTCTGATGGAGACTCCTGGACACAATGCTAACATCAACACTAAATGGAGACAACAGCAAAGCTGTCTCCATCAAACGGCCTTCATTACACAGTTGTTCAGTTCACCTTGCGTATGCTACGTAATTATTTCAGCCACCAGCTATTACTCCTGTACAAGAACAAAACCAAGTAACCAACCCCCTCACCAAACCCCACAGCCATTGACAGCACCAACAGATTAATTTCTCTAGACTGACTATACAGCAACATTTGTTTGCAGGAAGGCAGATTTGCCACTTGAGTCTCATAGAAGTTTCCACACTAAAATGTGTTGAATGAGATTTGTTGAATGAGAAAACGTGAATGAGATTTTTCCAAATTACTGAACTGTATGAAAATAAACAAACCTTAAATTAATTTTTAAGCCTCACTACTAGGACATTCCATTGATTAAAGAAAATACCACCTCAGCTATAACATCTAGCAGTTTTTCAGTAGCAGTTATTTCTCACATGTCACAGGAGAAGTATTTCATTTTAAGGATTTATTTTTTCCATAAAATTATCTATTTACACTGATGCCAGCCTTAATAAAGCCAGCAGATATTAAAGTGTAAAACTGTATTGTTATTACGGTGGTCTACAAGATTTATTTGGAAGCAATTTAACATAGCAGATAGAGCTTACTTCACTCAGTGGAATATTGAATTGTTAGTCTTGAACAGAACTACTCCCAAAAGAACCTTTCACTCAATTCTCAATAACAAGAATCTAATAAGCTACTGTCCTGTTTTTGCAATCCACAAGAGAATACTGCCGTATTCATATCCCAATCAGGATTTTTATCAGAAAATTGTTTATTATTAACCCACAGACACAAAATTCCTATAGAAAACTCATTTTTGTCAAACACAGTCTTCTGTGTTTTCTCTTAGAAATTTGCCCCATTTTCTAGGTTGCGCCAGAAAATTTCAGTTGCTTTCCTTAACTCCTCACCTCATCTAAGACACTTACAGTCTTCAGTGACCAAGTGGACAGCCTCAGCCAGGAGTTAGCTAGTTTGTCCCATGTGAAAGAGACCCGTCTTTCAGGACTCTTGAGCATAAACACTAACTGCACAACTAAACCTCAGAGGTATTAAATCTGCTGCCTAAATCCTTAACCCATCCTTATTGGTGTGCTCTCCTTTAGCACAAGATATTTTCATACTATTTCCCCTGCCTCCTTCTCACTTGAAATTTGATGCCACAATGTCTTTATAGGTGCATCTCCCACCTCGCAAAGGCCATTCATTTATATGCATCAGCTCTTCAGTGTATGCATGAGGTCTGCCTAAGCTTTCCTACCTAATAAATCACATACCAAAAGTGTCAAGCGGTGAAGAACGGAGGAAAAGGGAAGGTATGGGGAATACTAGCTAGCAGCCAAGACGGGAAGATAGCTCACCAGCTCACTCTGCCATTGATGTAGGGAGAAGGAGGCTGAGGCTGGACCTTCTGCTGGTGGCTAGGGCAGGACCCAGACCTAATGGCCTCAGAAGCTCTGCTGACTTGATTCCTCTGACACCTGGGGATTTGGATTACCTACATCTGATTACTTTAGTCTTATGCTGTACAGGTCTGCTGTAAAAGTTACACCTGAGCCACCTGTAAGCTGCACATAGCTCAAGAGCCCTAGATTGGTCACCCCTACTCAGGGCAGACACGCTGAGCTGTGCTGTAGTGCTTCGTTCATACAAGCAACACTCAACATTTTAGTGTTTTGGTCAAACCACACTATTACTATACAGCATATTCTTAACACAGCCCAGTCTCTGAGACTTTGTCAGGATTCAGCAACAATAAACACAGCTTGAGTGCCGAGTTTTTCCCTTGTTCTGCTACACTGAAAAGACTCAACTTCACATGTGAGCTCAGGAAAACACAAATATGGACAAATTGCCTGGTTCCCATTAAAACCGCTCATGTACTTCAAACAATTAAAAATGACTGACTCTCATAGTTACGTGAATATAAACAGAGAAGTGGGGCAAAGGAGGAGAGAGGAAGCAATAATCATCCTACTTGCTTCCCTAACACTGGTCAAGTTTTCCTGACCTGTACCAAAGAAACACGTAAGAGGATCATGAGAAAGGGAGAAGAACAAGACACAGACTTATTTAACATGATATATTAGTGAAAAATAAAGTGAAAAGCTTCTTACCGGCATATTGTTTTTGCTATCAGGACAATTTTCATCCTTTTCTGCTTGAATCTGCTCCTGACTTCCTGATTTTATAAGGTTTTCAACTGGGTCTGTATCTTTAAATTCACCTTCTGAACCCTTCATTGCATCGGTTTCATCTTTTACAGTAAGAATATCAGACATCCTCATTAGAAAAGGTTATTTTAAAATTCTACAAGAAATATGGAACCTTTAGGACAAAGAAAAAGCAGATCACTGAGTAATTTTAAATTAATTTTAAAAAATTACATACCAAAATAGCTGCCCAAAATAAACACGATTTTGCTGCAAAAAGGATTCCCCCTCCTGTTATGATATTTTTTCCTGCCTTGTATCAGAGGGAGAGAGTGATCATTTTCTTTTTAACCACTTTTACCAAGAGGCTTATAATAATAGACATCTATACAAACAAGAACTAAGAGCTATGCTATAGGATAGCGCTTGCAGATTTTCCATTCTGTATTTTGAAATAAACACCTGAGCATTCAGATACTCCAAATCAAACTAGCTTCCAACAGAAACAAACGAAGCTTTTCTCGTTTGAATGGAAAAGAGAATTGCATATAGATTTATTTTAAAAGGGTTGAAAGTAAACAGATGAATCATAATGCGCCAAGTGTGCAAACGTTCATAAATTTCATTAAAACTTTGAAGTTTCCTAGTTGCCAGGTAACAACTGGAAAAGTTCCGAATGCAGGAACTACCCTACCTACTAAATGTCATGAAACTAGTCTTCATAAAATTAAGCACACTCTCAAAAGCAATAAGAAAGAAAGAAAGAAAGAAGGAAAGAAAGAGCTTTTGTAATTAAGATAATAACAATCATTATCAGTAATTATAACATATAAAAATAGTTTTAAATACTATATGAAGATAACCCTAAAAAAATTAAAGCTGTAACAGAACCACCCCAATTTTCCCTAAGAAAGACTTCTTGTCATTACTCAGCTACAGTGCAAGATGTAAACACAAAAATTTTCCATTTCTTAAAAGAAACAAAGAATAAGATCTGAATGCTTAAAGTCCTACATAGAAAACAAATAACAATCAACTAACATTATGGAAAAGTCTAATTATCTGATTTAATACCTGATATGTCCTACAGTTTGGGGATTGTGGTCTCCCACAAAAATAAAATAAAATAATCCAGAGTTCCTTTTCACAGTTGTCAACCAAGATGTCAGTTGTAATGAACCATCTGGAATCTGGCAGGAGGAGTCCCATGTCCTTATCCCCAGTGTAGAGTCCTGGACAGAACTATGTTGTCTTGAATCAGCAAGAACATCCCTTTCGAATGCCTAAAAATCAACAAAGGAAATACATGATACTTTTATATTTGGGGCAGGATGGGAGAGGGAACATGATTACTTAAGTTTTTTGGTGTCATCATTTCAAGGAAAAAAGCACAGAAGAAATCAGCATTTGTCATATCTGTTCATTGGACTCGCTTTATATAGCAGCAATAATATTTTTCATTAAACTTCCAAGATATTTCTGTATTACAGAGTCAACAAGTAGTCATAATAAACATTTTGTTGGCATTCCTAGTGAAACCGTTTCTATAAACAAGCAGGTATCTTCCAGAAGAGTCTGAAAAGACAGTTTGAAATAAGCAGCCCAGCAGGTGTGGAGGAGTAATAGGCCATGAAAGCTCACAAATGCATAGCAGCATTTTTCTCTTTGTCATCGTTAATAATCTACAAGCACAACACATAACCAATAATTCAGACAACTTGAATTACAGAAGACAATTTTATTTTATTCAACAAAGTAATTGCCCTTGAATGAGGTTTTACAAATTTCTACAAACCTGACAATGTTCCATCTTCCCTCTTTCTCAAATTTGCCTTTCCAAGAAATAAGTGGTATCACCACTCACAAGGAAGCATGCATTTGAAGTGGTAGACAACAGACATCTAATAGCAAACAAAATGTAACCTATGAACATAGCAAAAATATCCTAAAGCAAAGAACACAAATAACTATCTTTCAAACCTGCGAAAGATACACTGAAATAAAATAGCTGAAAAGGATCTCTGTATTGCATTCTCCAAACAGTTTTCTCATGACTAGTCAGGGGCTTATAAAACCAGCACAAATGATAATAAACATCAAGAACACCTTCTGTCACCTCAGTTGAGCTACTTAATTTCCATGTAACATGATAGAATTGTTTCAGGAAAACAAAGAAGTGAAAAAGAACAGAATTGTTTGAAGTGAAATGAAGAAACAAATGAGACATTTACACCATGTTTATAACCACAATAATGTGGTTTAATTGATGTAGGTGAAGAATCTGAACTAAACTGTTCTCCTTCAAAGTAAAGCGTTGCACTACATGCAGGAAGAAAGGATGGAAAGACAAGTTGTGCAAGATCTTAATGTCTCCAACAAGTTGCTTCTTAGCTGAAAGAATACGAAAGCATTTAAGCATTCTGAAGTATGAGGTCACTAGAAAGCAAATAATATCAAAATTACAAGGTCGGGCTATGACAGTGCCCAGCCTTCTATCAGTTTTAATGTTTTGTCAAAACAAGAGAGTTTAATATAAAATAACATAAGAGAAAACTAGCTAAATATAATACTGACTTTACATGAGAGAAAAGCCATATCCTGTTTGAAGAAAAACCTGCAGAACTGAAGATGGGAAGTAGGATTTACAATTAAGCAAAAGAAAGCAAGTACTTTGTATTATCTACATTCCACAACAGTATCACCAGCTTGTATTCAAACTGTTTTGTATACACATCAGGATACTGCAATCTCTTGATCCCTTCCTGGAAAACAACTATAAAAACAGCAGAAAGCAACACTTCACAAGATACGTGCACATAAAGAATGAAGAATAATGTACTTCCCCCACTCCCCCCTCCCCCAATAAACCCTGCAAAAGAGATCTGGGTAAGAAGAATTTTAAATTATCGTTTAAACAGCGTATAGCATTTAACGCATCTTCCTTTAGTGCTACAATATTTTAATACATCGTAAATAGTTACAACTCTGAGGAGAACACCTCATCATCCTGCACTACTCCCTCAATGTGACTGAGAAGACTGTGATGGCAGGGAGCAGCAGCACAATGGCCCACAGACTTCCAGGTTTCCTTGCAGCTGAGATTAACGCCTGACTACAATTGCTCTTCTAGATCTGAAGAAACATACAGTTTGATAAGAGATATGAGATACTATAGACATTTTGACTTAAATCTTGCTGCAAAGAAGTATGGAAAAGAAAGATAAAAGATGGGCTGTGATTCAGGCCTGTATAAGACCCTATACACTGAATCTAATGGAGGGGAAAGGATTATAGGTGAAAGAACAAATTGGAAATAAAAATGTGCAGAAATGCAACAAAGGATATGCAGTACTGTTTGGTTGTTGAGTTAGTTTTTCCAGACAATCCAGATGGTGATTTAAGACTTATGAAGAAGGTCAGATTAACAACCTTTACTGTAAACAAGACTTGAATAGAGATGCTGTTTGTTTTTGTTGACTGACATATGATTTGTATTGTATTTAGAGAAACGTTAAAAAAGATTAGTCTGAAGACAGGAAAAAAAAACATTTCTGTCCAGTTGCAAATATAATCTTGGAAATTAAGTGTAATTTAATTGCTACTCCCTAGACAAGTCACAATGTAGTAACTGTAACCAACATCTTTAAGTTTTTTCTTTAATTTGATCAAACTCACTAAGGGCTCCTGTCCCTTTGCAACACATTTAAAAGAAAACAAAAAAAGCTACCTGCATACTCAGTTAGCGAAACTCATGCTGCAAACATATTTTCTTGCCTATGCCAATCCAGAAAACAGATGCACAAGGAAAAAGTCCTTGTATTTTCTGCAGCTTAACTGTAAAACTACTTATAACTTGTTATTAACAGACTTTTCACCTGCAGATAGATTTAAAGCCTGCAGATTTCGTGCTACGTAACCTACAGTAAAAGGGACAGAATCGAGGAAAAGCTGTGTAGTTTCAATTCACATGAAATAATACCTATTTTTAGGTTTTACAGAATGTAGCTGTTTTGAGTCAACTGGAATCACTGTATGCACACCCACAAGTAAATGACAAACCCTGTGCTTCAGATTAACAGCAAGACACACAAAATAGACGAATCTTTGCTTACCTGAAAAAAAAAAATTTTTTTTTTTTTTTTTTTAAGTAATAACAGCCATAGATTCATTGAAATCGTAATGCAACCTTGTGTTTGTGACCCACCATAGTGAGTTTCTAGTACTTGGATAACATTCCATCCCCAAAGTTTCCTCTAATTCAGACAATTTTCATAGGTGAGAAATTTTGGTTCTAGTTTCTAAACTTGCACGGATTGGATTAAAAAAGACTTGAGGAATTTTATGTGCTGCGTACAGCCCATCCTTATGCATCCCACCTCCCCATATATTTGGTTATTAATTTCTTGTGTCCCATGCAGGACAGGAAAAAGAAGAAAGCAAGAAAGTAAACCTTAGGACTTGCTCTACTGTCTGGAGAGAAAATAGCTTTTAGTAAGCAAACTGATTAAGTTGATTTACACCAAATCCCAACATTGGCCATAGATTGGATGGCAATATAGACCAATATAGGTTAGCAGATTTTAATATGAGGGACATGATACCTCTGCCCTAAAATTATCCAAACAGTTGAAAGGACTGAATATTAGGAATAGAAGAACATAACCTGGTTTTGCACTTAAAAATTCAAGTAGCTAGCAACAGGTCTCATGAAAAAAGCCTTCCAATGTTACTGTCTTTCATAGGTGACAACAATAGGCACCTACTTTAATAGGCAGGAAGTACAAGGACTTGGATGTAAGAATGGAGGATAACATGTCATATTTATCTTCTTTAACCTTCAGGATTGCTGTCCCCATCTGAACACTTATTGTTGAAGTGTATGCTCTTCCCCTTCTTCATTATATTGGTTACACTATACCACCACCATTCATCCTAAATTCTATTAATTCTCTTTCTGAGAAGTGGTAACCACTTTGTCTAGGCGACTATTCTGAATGTGCCCCTTTTCAGAGGGAAACCTGTTATTATCAGCTGTGAGGTGGAAGCCTAGTACTATGTAGGCAAGTGCTTTTCAGTCAGAAAATCATAAAAACTGTCAATACGGTGTTCTCATTGCTTTCTTTTGCACAACTCAGAGGAGAAGTGATAAAAAAGAAGACATCAAGCAAAGCCATTGCTGAGTTTTATGACAGAAGCCTCCTGAATCATGATACATGGAAAACCACTGGGTCCTTTGTTTCAGGTTCAGACTTGAAAAATCATCATATGCAAACCTACTAAATTGACTTGTAATGAGTGAGGATATTTCTGGGAACAGGATCTACTCAGCTTAATCCAATTTCCCTAATAGGCATCAAGACTTCCATCTCCTTGTTGGCAATGCAGATAGGAAGTTTTGCTCTGCCCATGACAGAAGAAATCGATTCTTTCTCGTTTAAAAAGGAGGTAAAAGACAGAAGGTGATTTTTGTTGTTGTTTTGTTCTTTGTTAAAGCTATTATTGATATCATTGCTGTCAAAAAGACCCCAGGAACAGCTGTCAAAATACCTGGTGTCAATCAAATTCAGGACAGGAAATTGGATTAGAAAGGTGGGGGTGAAAAATCTACACTCAACATGCAAAGTGGACAGACACATTGTCAGTGGAAAAGTAAAATGAAAATTTATTTCTTAAACAGGCTTCTGTTCACCAGACATTTCAACAGAATTCCTGCACAGGTCTAAAGAGTATTCATTGTTGTGGACGATATGCACCTACCTCATTTTTACTACGATCATAAGTAGTTTACCCCCTAACCTGACAGTCAAAATCAGTCAGTGCTAAATTCCCAGTGAGGCTTGTTCTGAGTCATTCAGAAATCTCCAGACTGTATGCAGTGCCTTGTCTCATCTCAACATTTGTTCTAGTTACATGTAAAGCTGTACATCTCTTCAGAAGTTGCTTTAACTTTATTATCCCAGCACTAAAGGCTGGAACTTAATTATCTGTCTGTATTCTCCCTGAAACCAGACCAAGTTTATGTGAAACAGTACAGAGAAAGCCATGCTTGCTGTACTGTTAGAATTTAAACAAGAGAAAGCAAAAACAATCAATGTATTAAAATTTGAAGCAGGAAGCAGCACTAGCTGTTTGTCTATCCCAGCACCAGAAGGCTAGCAACCACGGGAAAGACAGATGAGATACAGGACCAAGAAGCAGCTGGGGGTGGGGGGGGAAGTAAACATTGAAGCACAGAGACAGGCAGTAAGAAAGTCTGGTATTTGCCCCAGCTTTTT